CCAGGACTTTAGCTCTTATTTTGCATAGCTAGCACAAGGCAAAGGGTGTTTCAAATTTCAAGTGATTACTATTTGAATCCATTGCTAGTTTTTAATAAAATGTCATTTTAATCTGAGTGTTCCTGCTAGTTGTTTATCTTTGGACAACTATTATCGTGGTGAAACACATTTGGCTTTTGTTATTTTTATTGCTATTGCTTGTGTTACAGAGAACCTAGAGATCCCAAACTAGACTGGGATTCCACTAGGCTACATGGGAGTCCAAAAACAGTTAGGAATGGAGGGTTTGGAGTTTTATCATTTGAGACATGAAAAAGATGCCGGAGAAAGGAAGACACAGAGAAATGGTGTTCAGGAGGTCATCCCAGTGACAGTCAGAAGCTGGCCCCACTCTTTGAAGTTACTTGCCTGCCTACAGGAATGCTATTGAAACTTCTCATAGTTTTAAATTCTACCTGTGTCTTAGATACTTGATTTTGCTTCTTAACTAAGCTGTAAGAATGCCCTATGGGTTTTTTTCTGTGTCCCATGTCTCTTTGCTGCTCTAATTTTAAACTCCCTATTAAGGAATCTAACAGAAAATTTCAAACAAACACAGTAACACCAGTCCTGCCTCTGGTTCTCAGACTTGCTTATACTGTTGCTTGCATTTTGCATCAGTTGCTATGTAGTTGCCTGTGGTGCCATGCTTGTCAAAATGGCCTAACAGCAATAGGCTAGAAACAGAAAGCATGAATCTTCCTAATGCTTTCATGTCTCTTTGATACACTTTAAAAAAACCAAGCAGGTAAATAAAACAACCTCTCAAATAACTGAGGCACTGCCTTAAATATTCTACAAAAAGGCTATGAGGCCACATCAAAAGCCCATGAACTAGATGGGAATCCATCTTCCCATTGATGTTAATGGTTTGGATTGGACCATAGGTTATGATGTTACTGAAATTTCTCTTTGAGCAATAGGCAGTCAGATGTGTAAAGAATGGGACAATATTATGGGACAGGTGGAAGAAACGTACCTCACTAATAATTGTGAAAAATTTTGCAAGTGCTTTGATTTGCCTTCCTTTGCTGATTAACTGAAACAGTTTCAATCATTCTTCTGAAGGTAAACCACAATTAGACTGTCATAGAGCTTTTCTGATGATCAAACATAATTTTGTTACTTGAAAGGATGAGGCCATGATGCTTTATTTTCAGTGAGCTCAGTAGATTTAACTTTAATTCTATTACTAACAGACTTGGCTTTGTTTACACAGAAGCCAGGGAAAGCTTTACTATTGACCATAGCACAGGCAGTGCACTGATAAGAGTCCACAATAAATCTGAAACCTGCATCCCAATGCACACGTGTATACATATATATTTGTATACTCCAATGAACATATATCCTTAAGAAATCTGAATAAATGTGTACGTATCCATACGGTGGAAAAACAAGCCCCATGTATTATAATATACATGTCGATTTTCTCAATTAAACATAGAACATGTAAACATGCATTGATTGACTGTTCTGAAGTATGTCAAAGGTTACATGTAATAAAATTTTATGTAATTTGGATCTCTTAAAATGCAATTGATGACTATAATCTCAAGCAGTTGGGCATATATTTTACTTTATACATACTGATACCTGTTTTTCTTTGTTGTATATTTTTGGCCTATGAGAATAATCTCTAAAGGTGGTGGAGTGAATAGGTTTATTTCAAAAGTTAAGTAACATAATTATTTGGAAAAATAAAATTTCTGATTTGTCCCATGCCTCTTGTTTTCTCTTGAAGGGGCTTTTATTTTGGAGAGCACTACTGATTTCCTTTGGAACTTTATTACTATTTGCCTTTATTACAGCTTTTACCTATCTAATGTGGGGGCTTTTTTATACACCTTAGCGTGGAGTACCAGTCAAGTTGGCTAAGGTAGTCTAGATTCATCGTGATAGCAGTAGCTCCAATGAAGTAGTTCGTATAAGAAAGCAAGCATGACGTAGAAATACTTATGAATGTTTATTCATACCAAAGATGCCTAAAAATATCAAGAAGCTTTCCCGTATCATAGGGTTTGGTGGATAAAGAAATCTGAATTAAGAGACTGGTTATTGATCCAGTTCATGTAGATTAACTCATTCTGGAAGCTAAGATGACACAGTTAACATATGTTACCATATGTTAACATATGTAACCATATGTTAACACAACATATGTTACTAGTCAAAACAATGCCTCAACCCCTCTAGCTGTGGAAGGAATACTTCTGCCAAGAGGTTCCATGTATAGGTGCTGCACATGGGCATCCTTTCTCACCCAGCCATGCTGGTAGCAATTTGGGTGCCTCTCTATATCTGCTAGGTGTGCCTATCCCACTGGCTAGACCAATGCCTCGACTCCATGGGAGCTGCAGCCAGCTGGGACGACAGTTGTTTAACCTCAGAAAGAGTCCAGGAGGATGAGGCTGAGAAGAGGTTAAGGACAGAGTTCACATTGTGGAACCAGCTCTTTGGAAGGGAGTCCACCCCTAGATCTGTGATGCTTTGCAACACGGACCTATAGTGACCTATTCCCAGAACTGAAAAATGTGTAGGTAAGTGTTGCTTAAATACTCTATACTGTGTACCTAGTGTAGGTCTGAAAGCTGGAAATCAGTATCTGCTGCTTTTAAATATCAGTGAAATTAATTGTATGGATAAATTTAATACAGGTTAGGCAGCTCACAGCAGGCTGGACTCAGGAGCAAATCAAAGCAAAATGTCAATCAGTCAATCAGAAGAGTTTGGTGTTCAGGGAAATTTACAATAGCAAAGATACATGCAATGGAAAATGTATTTCCAGCCTTTTCAATGGTGATCATGTCTTGTGCCTTGCAGAAATCCTAAGGAGATAGGAATAGTCTTTTCCAAGAAATCCCGTAAATGGTCTGCATAAGTGGAATATATTAAAGAAAACGAAGTATTAAGAAAGGTGGGAAGTGTAAAATCATCATGAACATTTGATTTGAACTGAGTCCACACATACCAAAATTAAGTGTCTGAGGAGGAAACATGAGGAGTAGTAATAGTGATGGAACATAATCGTCATACTTGGTGTAGGGAGAGCAATTCCTGCAAGAAACTCTAAGGGTTGCACTCCTATGGGCTGTAAGGAAAATATTGAAGGGCTTGAACATGGGGAGAAGGTGGTGATGGCCTCTCTCCTCTGATCTTCAGCAAGAAAATCCAGATAAATATTCACAAGTCCTCTGAAGATGCTTCATTTTGATGTTTCTCTTGCTGGCCATTATAAAGGTCCAAACTGTGCTGCTGTCTTCTCCCATTCCAGAACACCTGTAATGGGCTCCAAGAGGAATCCCATCCCAAGGGCTTTTCATAGGCGGTTCATGAGAAGACTGTCAGGAACTGTAGGACCTTTGCAGCCATGTGGGCAGCCCCACCTCTTGAGTCCAGCAGATACCTTCCCTAGCAAGTGTGGTAGCAAGGCAGTAAAATGATTGGAAGTAAATATGGACCTACTGGGGTAGCTGGGCTGGTGGCCAAACCCCATCCAAGATACTTTGAATTTTTTTGCTGTTGCAAAACTGTGTTTCTGTGCTGGATTTGAGACTGTGTGTTTATGTGTTGTTTGCCACAAGAACCCTATCTGGTCTGTGATACAAGTAGCTTTTGACGTCTCTGAGTAAACTGTTTAAGTTATCTGTGGGCAGACATTTAAAATGCATCTGTCTAATTAGAGGGCTGCTGTTTATGTCAAGAAAGAACTTAATGAATCCTTAGGGACAAATCTGAATATAATTACAGAGTGTGCTTGCCAGTCTCATAAGCTACTTCCCAGCCTGCTCAGAACTTGGGCCTCCTACAGCATTCACATTTTTGTCAGATGACTTCATTTCTGCTTAAGAAGCATGCTGAGCTCTCACTGGGAAGCAGAGTTGGGCTATAACTTTCAAATGCCTTCAGTTAGTGGAAATGCGCTCCCAGGGACAGTCCCACGGGAATAAAACCAAATAAATAATTAAGACAATAAAGCAAAACAGATTTGTGTCAACTTTATGCAGAATCCTCTTGGCGTCTGTATAAGCTCTTGAGACATCTCGTTGTTGGAGCTGTATGTTCTCCTGTTGCTGATGGTCCTGCCTCAAATGTAATCTGGAGTTGCCCCACTCCATTCACATGAACCAGACCTGGGCAAGGGAGCCTCTTGTGCACCTTCCTCCTGGATGCAGTGTTACTCTAGCTCTAGCTTCTGCTAGAGTAGGGGCAATGGCAGGTCTCTTGCCTCTATTTTAATAGCCTAGCATTTGGAATGGGATAAAGATGGCCTGGGTAGAGTGCTACTGTCAGCCTTAGTGGAAGAAAGCTGTTCCATCTGACCTGCTAGGAAAATATGCCAATGACTGGGCACAACCATCTCCCAGCCTCCCCAGGTGAGAGTTATACGACTGCTTGAGACTACAGAGGGAGTAGATGGGTGAGCCTGGTTACCAGAGCAAGGCTTTGGTTTCTGTGTTTGCTACCATTTATCTTGTTCAGACAGTAATTACTGAAAGCAAAATAAAGAGCTGGTCACTGGAAATTAAAGTCAAGTTTCCTGGCTATGGTCTTCTGATCTAACCATAAAATTATACTTTTCCAGTAAGTGAAAGCAATGAAATGGTGAAAGAGTGATGAAAAAATAATTCAAACAGTTGGTATTCTGTGGAAGGGGGACTGGGCAGCATGCTCTCAGCAGGTCAGGCCAGTGCTTCAGTCTGTGAATATTTGAATAAATCTGAGCAAAAACTGATATTCGTTTAAAATGAATAGCAGAAGGATGGCAAATAAAATATGCCACAGCAAGGAAAAAACAAACAAGCTGAATGCAGCATTTTATTTAAAGGCTGAATTAGGTATTATAACTTCAAGCCAGTGTTCGTCAGAGGAAATATTGAAACAACCTCTTGAATCCTGCCTTATATTAGGTACACAAAACCAAGTTTTAAATATTCTTTTTGCTTTATATGTTCTCAGGGTCTCCTTTCAACCTATTTTTTAATCAGCATATTCCTTCTGAATTGAAGAATAAATGGGATCTGAAATGAATTTAGTTGGACATCATCAGCTAGCCACTGCTGATGGATTTCCTCTTGCTGAAGGTCCTCATTTGTTTGGTAAGTCACCAAATCAGGTTGAAATAGCAAGCTGTCCTTTACTCAGGAACATAGAAGAAAATGGACTGAAATTTCAAGTCAAGGACATGTGAGAGACATGTGCCAACCTTCTTGAATCTGCAATACTTACAAAAGAAATAACAATGGATCTGTGGTGTTAATGTAATCCCACACACTATTGCTCTCATCACTGCTCATAGCAGAGCCTGTAGTTTGTTTTTGTAACACTCTTCTAATACTGAAAACCATTCAGTGAAGACAGACCTTTGTATGCAGTCTGGTTGTTATCTTCCTGCGAGTCGTTTAAATCAAGCTGAGCAGATGTATTTCCAGTTAATTAGTAACAAAATTATCCTGCAATGTATTTGCATTGCCATATTATGCAAATTTATGAAAGTAATTTCACCTAAATTAAAGTCTTTTTCTTATTAAGACTATTAAAAACTTATCCTATTAACTTCAGTGCACAAGAAAGTTTATAAAGCAGGCTGGGAAATTCTCCTTGCTCCGGTCCCACTGAATATTTCAGGGCTACATATGGGTTTGCTAGTGAATGAAAATTTCTTGGTCAATATTTTGTAAGCATGGGGTAGCTGTCTTCTACTAAGAAAAAAAGAGAGAATAACACATTTTTTAGCTTTATGTTTGACTGGGTCCTTCATTGACTAACATGAAACATTGAGTATTGTGAGATATGCAGAATGCTGCAACACTTCAGAAGTTTCCACAATTCTGCCTTTTTGGGTGCTGGAAAAATGAAAACATTCCAGTTTTATCTGTCTGAAACAAGAATAGTAGCTGGGGCTTGGAAGGACTCTGACACACAGAGCCACTCCAGCTGCAGAGCTCTCAGAAGTCAGGAACATCTCTCAAGTCAAACCACTTCCAGTCTCCTGGCTCCATACAGCTAAACTAAAGCACTATCACTAATGATAAGCACAACCCATTCCATTATTGTGTGTTACTGCTTTTTATCCCTCTCTGTGTTGGGGTTGGGTGGGAGAAATATTTTGGAGTTGTTAAAAAAGTATATGCAAAGAGCTAAAACACTTCCTCGCAACCTGTTAATTCTAGTCTCAGGCCATGATATACAAGGAGGAGAATGATAGTCAAATCTAGTCATCATTTAGAAACTCCTGAATAACTGAAATACTTCAGATTTTTATCAAGATTTACCCCCAGTATCTACTTTATCAGCAATTATTTCATTATTTTTAAAGAGTAATGATCAGGTAACTTAAAATACTAGGAAAAATGTTAATGTGTAAAATACTTTCCATTCACAGGGAAATCTTACAAGTTGTGAGGCCTTCATAAGAGGGATTGTGTCTCTCATTATAGATCTTCAGACCTTAGCAAAATGGAGATTTAATTCAAGCTGACATTTCTGTAAGAGAAAGAAATAATGTATTAAGGGGTTGAATCAGGGGACCCATTAGGAAGGAGACACAGCACACCTGCTGTGTTTCATTTAAGCTGATTTTTGTTTAGTGGGGCGTCACTCCTATGTGGTGTCTTTTTTGCTTTTATAGCAGAAAAAAAGCCTGTCAGAAATAATATGCAACTGAGTCCACAGAGAAAGTTACTCATTGTGCAAATATGACTCTTCTCTTCAAAAGACTTGTAGGAATTGGTTTTTCGTCTCAATTTTATATTTGTAAATTACTTACTTTTTTTTGAAATTCAGTTTTGGCAGGAAGTGACTTGTGAACCCAAGGAAACAGGAACAAAGCTTTTCTTTTCAATGCCCTTAGAATACAAATTCTCTCAGGACTTCTCACACATCACAGCTCACAAGGTGAAAATCGTTGGCTTACAAACATTAGCCTTTATACAAACCAGTTTCCTTTTTTCAAAGATACATACTAGCATTCTGTAAAAAAAAACCCTTGGAAATGTGTTTTCTTTTCATCATGATTCACTTAGTCTATGGGGAGAGTGTCCTTAGACCTCAAAAACAAATTTAATTGAATCTCCAAACATTAGCACCAGGTTCAGATCTTTCAAAAGAAACGTCAATTGTGAGTTGCTTGTGCTGTGAACCTCATCACCATGGTAATTCCAGGGCACTTCTATATACCTAGCCTCAAGATTTCTAGTTGCAGGAGGTTTCAGAAGAGCTTAAAGAAAAAAAAGAAGGGTTTCCTACCTTTCAGTAGCTGGAAGTTGTACGTTGTCATTTTAACAGTATATGTCTAAGGTAAAGCATCTCTGTATGTCTTTGGAGTCAGTGTGTTCTACAGGTTTTCACTTCTGCAGTTATAAGTCCCTGGAAAAAAGGTCCAGAAATGCAGATGAGGAAGAATCTTTAACCTAGTAAAAGTCGTTCCCTTCCACCCTGTCTTCCTGGAAAACTGCTTCTCTTTATCTAAATCCCTACTCAGGTGACTTAGAAACATCCCAGACCTCTTTACAGAAAATATATCTTTGAAGAAGTGGCCAAAACCAAATTCATAAAATGATACAATCTCTATAGTATCAGCATGCAAAACCAACTTTATCTTTCTTGCAGCTCTGGTTTTCCCAGTGATGGAAAGGGACTCTCTATGACAAGAAAATCCAGAGGTGTGTGGGTCTTCATGGGACCTTTCTCACTGAGATTCTTCCCTTCCTCAGTCAAACTCTGTTTTTATTTCACAAGCCCCATTGGACTGAACAGGGCCAGCTCTGTGAAGAGTGGTCCAGTTTCATACCCTGAACTAAGAGAAAGTGACACAGCTACCAAACTGTATTTTTTAACCTCTGTAATTTAGGACTGAAATCCCGGTCTCCTTTAAAATCTTTGGGAGCTTTGTAGTTCACTTTAGAGCTACAACAGATGCAGACTGATCTGAACTTCTCCATTTTGCTCCAAATTGACCGGACACAAGCTGTGACCCAGAACATGGTGAGGTGCATTAGCAGAGCACTGTGACAAGCCTTGCTCTAAGGCTTGGCAATTCAGCTGGGACAGCAAGACTGTTGCAAAAAGTTATTTGATAACCTCTTTCAATTACCTTTGAAAGTTTTTCATATTAGGGACAATATGTGTTTTAAATACCTGTACTTCCATTACCTTATTTCTTTCAATGGTCATCACTTGCCCTTTCTCACAAGGGACTGAATTAATTTTCAGACAACAAATCTCTCCTTCAAATCTTAAATGTAAGCCTATATATTTGTATGGCACCTGAATTATATACAACATTTGACTCAAACTGTCATTTCTATTATAAGTAGCACACCTCTGAAGTAATAGCTCCATTCTGTTTTCTGTGAAAGCACCTTATATAGAAGTTATTAGTATGCAAGATATTAAGTGTGAAGCTTCAGATATCAGAAATAGAATTATTTCTAGGAACCTGAAGAGGTAATTCAGTACTATTATACACTTAGTTTGAATGAAAACCATTTTTTGACGGCCTGAAAATGTTTTCTTTTAACATGACATTAACAAGACAAGAAATGCTACCCTCATTACGTATGTCCCTGCTGAGAAAGAAATTTTTGGGTGAATAAGCACTTTTAAAAGCTGTTTTGGAATGGAGAGGGAAGAACATGAAAAAAAATTACACCTAACAAAGGGGAAAAGAAAGCAATACATCTAAGCTTCTCAATGAAAGAACAACCAAATGCCATTGAAAATTGTTGTAGGCATAGAACAGTGCCTAAGAGGAGCTCGAACAGCTGATTCCTTTTAGGTAAATCTGCATTTGTTCTAGTTATGCTTTTTTCTATTTTTCTTTTAAAGGTAGTAGGGTCAAGTCTCCAAACTGATTAAACAGCTTCAAGATCATAAGATATGTTAAATAACTACTCGTCTTTAGCACCACCTGGCAGATGATGCAACATCTGGCTTCATCCCTGTAGAGAAGATAATTAGGCTCATAACTGACCCCCAAATAAAAAGGAAACAAGCCAACACAAATTAAAACAGAAAATCTTGTATGTATAATAATTCTGAAAAGAGCAAAACCAAACAGAGTGGCAATCTAAGAAAAAAAATTTAATGAGAAGGACAGATTGGATGGGGCTTTGAGCAATCTGTTTAAGGGGAAAGTGCCCCTGCCCATTGCAGGGGATATGGAACTAAATGATCTTTAAGGTCCCTTCCAACCCAAACCATTCTATCTTCTTATACAGACGTGTCCAGTACGGCCAAAGCACTTTGGCCTCTTTTTGAGAATTTAAAATTTCTGTACTTATCTGTTAATCCATTCAGCTAAAACATGCTTCCTGTGCTATGGAAGTGGTTAATCTGACCTTACAAAATATTTATCGATAAAAATTTTGTTGTAACTAAAGCACAATAGGTACAAAATTACGAGGCTAGGCTGCTTGAAGGAATCCCATCGAATGATAACCAAATTTTATCCAGGTAAATCCACGCTGGGAACGGATATTGTTTCAGACATTTACAAACAAGTTTCTCTGTAATGAAGTTAATCAGTAAACTATATAACCTCTGGTCTGTGTCACTCCTTTCTAATCTTAAAGAAAGTTCTCACAGTAAAGAAGGCAACAAAATACAGACAGAGCAGAATTAAAAAGTTTTATTTATAGATAGTCTTTAGGAGGAAGAAAAAAGAAAAAGAGAGGGAAAGGAAGACTGGGCACCTTAAGGAGAGTATTTTACTTCAAGAAATGGTCAGATTGAACCCAGCCTGAGGTAGGATATTGCTGTGTTCTTGCTTGGATGTTTTTGCCACTATTCTTGCACTCTTCTTTGAAATTGTAGGATGTAGAAGGTTTTTTTTAAGCCAAAAGATTTTTAAAAGATGCGCAAATAATTTGTTTGGAATTAAATTGCGATTTTGTTAATGGCTATGCCATGGTTTTCGAATTACTTAATCCTGAATACTGTTTTTTCTTTATGTTCCTTCATGAATATCAAAGGAGAGCCAGATGTTCATATTTTGAACCTGCCCAGAATTTTATTCTCTTCAATTAGCTTTATATTAGTGGAACAATAACTTTTACATTAACGATCTCATTGTAATTTCTGTAATAGTCTGCATAAAACCACCTTTAGTCTATACATAACCTCAGTATAATTCTACAAATTGAAAACACTTTCTTTAGTTCCTATAAGGAAAATTACCTTTAGTTTCCAGAAGTCAAATATTTTTTTAAGTTTTATGTAAAATATTCTGTGTAAACTTGAAAGTAACAAAAGCAAAACTCTTCAATGAGTTTCATTTGACAGTGGAAAAATATTTGTAAGACAATTATCATATCCATGGGAAGGTTTTTAGTAAGCTTTCCATATTTCTGTGAAATGTTTTCATTGAAAAACATCTATTTGCAAAACATAATCTAAAAGATCTGCAGCTGTAAGTAACATCACATTTGTGTGTGTGTAAGCAGTCTTTCCTTAAAAATGTAAAAGGTATGCTTCCAAAAAGAAAAACAGATAAATGTTTCAAAATAGCTGAGATCACACAAACATAAAATGTCGGTGTAGTCCAGTGCACTCATTTCTGATTTCAGTTTCACTGCTTAAACTACTGTGACTCCAATGATTTTACTGGACTGCTTATGCTTTAGTCGCACGAGACAAGTCCATCACAGACTTCTACGAATATGTCTCTGGAGAAAAGCTTATGTACCTTCCCCTTGGCAAGATAAGATTACTTTTCTTTTGTGATAAGAAATTATTTGGTCTAGATTCTGATGTACAGGTCTACAGGTATATCATGTTCAAGCCTACTTAAAACAAATCAAACAAAAGCCCCTCAAAACTTTTAGCTAAAGTGGGGGAACCTACATAATTGCAACCTCATTATCTTCAAAAATCATACTGGATGCTGACCACTTTGCAGAGTTTCAGCTGTTAAGTCTCTTTTACGTAAAACAAGACCATGTTCTCGCAGTCTCTCTCAACCCTGTTTTGTTCTTCCTTTTCCCTTCCTTTGCTCTGGGCATGGACTCAGTTCAGCTAAATTCTTTAACTATGCGTCTGATACAGAAGGAAGAAGGTGATATAGGCTTTTTGGGTTTTATTTGCCCATATTTAACCTCATGCATTAAGACTTGTATTTTTTTTTCCTTCAGAAGCAGAGTAGAATTAATGATGGTGAAGATTTTTCTAAATACATGTGTAACACAAACAGTTCTACAGTGGTTTAAATAAACACCCAATCTTGTCTTAGGATGTGCTACAGTTCTTTAGCAGTCCTGAGTTTTTTAACCAGCCCTAAGATTTTTGATGTGGAAGGAATATTGACTTATCTTCTTGCTCTTTCAGAGCAAGAGCTCTTCCAGCTCTTTCAGGATGCTGGTATACAGCTTCTGTGGAGTTTCCTGTGGATGGCATAAAATTAAAAGTGAAAAATTTCTTTCATTTCATTTTGGGATTGTCCCACTTCCCTTCAGTGAACTCAATCAACTAAGCAATTTCCTAAAAAGCTAATAACAGCTTAGGTTTCCATGGTGAACAGATTCCTTTCCAAACAGACACTGAATGATTGTGCACCCCACAATTAACGCCAGTTTTTGTACCTGAAGTACCTTGACCAGTCTTAATAAGCAGCAGTCTCAACAAAAAGTAAATATAGTTAAAAACCTACCACCCACTCCTTAAACCTATACCAGACATCAAAACATTGTTGTCCTACTCTTTTTTTGTCACCACTGTGGCTGGCAGGTATCAGTGACAGTTTGCATTTGATACATGAAGGTGTAACTTCCCTTCCAGGCTCTTTCATAGAGTCCCAGATGCCCTCTGTATGTGTATATTGTTTGTTTAAATGGTATAAACTTGGGTTTGGGGAGTGCCTTCTGTTACTCTGCTCCTGCCAGTATAGTACTTGGGGCCCTGGCCTCTTCTGGAGCAACCAGATGCAACTGTAGTTAAACTAATTGTTAGTAATATATGGGACCATTATTCTCATTCAGGTTTTTGTCACATTTTTCCTGACATACATCTTGCTGCTTATTCTGGAACTGGAATCTCAACATTTGCTATTGGCAAAGATGTGTTGTGGGCAGGACAGCAACCCGACAAATCCAAAACACTTGCATGGCTTTTGCAGCATGTGAAAGCAGGAAGGGCAGAAGGCTGCAGATCAAAAATGTGAGACCTTGAAAGTGAAAAAGTAGCTGAAATTAAAAGGTTAGTTTCTGGCACTAACTGAAGTGAGACAAAGGAGAGGGAAGGATTCCCTGCTATAGATTTTATTTATTTTTGTCGTTGCAGACGTTCCCTCTTCCTAACTGTTAGCATTTTCTCGTTGTTTCTGATTCCTCAGAAGTGAAGGATACTTACCCAGGACCAATTTTATGTCAGTAAAAATGTTTTTGGAATTCTTCTGAAGCACTGTTAAGTGATGGTCACCAATGAATATTAATCTAAGATTTCCTTGTAAATACTGCTGTTGACTCAAATAAAAGTGGACTGGTCATCTTCCTGGAAATATGCACTATTTTTCTCAGACTCTCTTCTTGGAACTATTAAAGGCATGGAGTCAGAGTTTTCATGAAACAGCAAGATGTGGCTCTCTCCAACAGAAAATATGAAGTAGTTTGCAAATAACTTTCAAATTCCACTTTTCAGATGTTTGACATGGGCTTGATTTTAACTACGCCATCCAGGGACTACTAGATGTTGTTGTACCTGTAGTACAGGAAAAAAAAAGCAGACTTGAGTTGTTTGCAATTTTAAACATGAAATTTAACGAGCAAAGTTAAGGTAGTCTCCAGATATTGTGTTGATCCTTACAGGAAAGGTTGCCACTCCTTATACCACTACCAGGTCTGTTGTTGGCTCAGAGGTGATTAATGCTGGCTTACAGAGGTGCTTCCTATGAGAACTGCACAACTGCACTGAATGGCACAGGCTCGTAGGGGCTGGGGACCAGGCTGTAGTGGCTGGCTGGCCACTGGAAGCTGGATGGTGAGAAAGTTGCATTTCACCACTTATATTAGGAATATTTTCCCTATTCCTTCATGGTAACCTCACTTCCATCTTTCAGGCCCTCTTGAAGGTTTATTTCATGTTCTTAGCCTTCTAATTGAGCCTCACCCCTGTAATTTTTCCCTAGTGCTGCTTTTCTCTGTCATAATGTATTCATTCTGAATTAAATAAGGATTAATATGATGTTTGAGTCTTGATCTAGCTTTCACCAATGCCATAGGATTTTTGGCATTTGTTTGGATTTCTTCTATTCTGCTATAAGACCTAATATGGGTTGCTAGCTTTCATGAGGTGTAGATTGATCTTTCTTGTAAATTGAATAATTATATGATTATCTGCACAATATCTTTCAAGATTTTTTTTATATAAATGCCAGTGCTGGACATTTTCACCCATGACAGAGGAGTGGTTGAGGATGACTAAGTTATTTTTAAAACTTCTTGCAGTGTACTTGTGTAGCAAATCTGAGCTCAGATAATGCAGTCTTTATGTTTGTGCCTGGTTTTTGAGATAGATGTCTGGAAGTGGAAACTTCTCTAAAAACTACAGTTTCACAGCAGTAATAGAGATTGGTTTTGCATTATTATTTTCCAGGTGTCCTTTCAGAACCAATGAGTTCTCCAGTACAAGAAGCAGATGTGTCACCTTATGCACAGTACAACAGTGTGCCATTTCCCCAAGTTCAGCCTCAGATTTCGTCACCGCCTTATTACCCCAACCTAGGCTTCTACCCTCCGCAGCATGAGGAATGGTATTCCCCTGGGATGTACGAACTCAGGAGATTACCCTCAGAGACCTTTTTCACCAGGGAGACAGACATAATGGATATTCCTGCAGCCAAAAAACCTAGACTGGGTCACTCTACAGGAAGAGTGAAAGGAGAAGAGCTCTGTGTGGTCTGCGGTGACAAAGCCTCTGGGTACCACTACAACGCCCTTACTTGTGAAGGATGCAAAGGTAGGATGAAATCAATTACAGAATGCAATTCAGCTAATAAGCACAGTGGTTTATGAGTATTTTTTTACTTTCTTGTTAATTTTATCCAAGTTGTTAAGCATTTTAGAGATCTACATTTTGATATTTTGTACCCTATTCTGTATTTTCCCCAAGACAGATTGGCAGTGTCTTCCACCACTGTCTTGTGATTATGCATCACAGTATGCCAGCCTATGGCTCTTGAGCACCAATAGCTCTTGGTAAACTGAAAAACAACTTTTATGTGGAGCCTAGCAGCCTGGCTCTGCTGTTCACAGAGGCTGCTTATGTCATTCTCTGCCTGTGGAAGGAACCACACCCATGGAGGCTGCTGGGAGTTCAGTGGCAGGCTGCCCTAGAAAATAGCTGTAAAACCAGCCCAGGTGCCTCCTGTAGTGTGCATTGAAAGGAAGTGAAAGCTGTCAGCCCCTACTGCAGCCCCCACCTCTCAAAGGATATGATCGGTGTCTTCAGGCTTGTTAAATAAGAGGATTTCTAGTTCTAGACTTTCTTCTAGGGATAGCTGCTGTCTCCAGGGAGAAAGCTTCTTCAGGAAGCAGGTGGTATTTGTAGGACAAATATCTTGCTTCTTAGAAGAACAGTATTCACATGTTGGTATCAGGATAAATGGGATATAGAAAATCATTGCCATTATTGGAAACATGATTGCCAGATATTTTAGCAGAGAGGAAAAAAAGGTTATTCCAACTATTAAACCTGAAGATGGTTATTCTGTGATAAGGCTGATGTACAGAAAAATAGTGCCCCAGTTTTGCATTCTGTTCTGTGAATAAATATTTCATAATCATTTTTGTTCTACAGATAAAGGCTAAAGCATGGAAACTACTGAAGCACTAAAACATCTTTATGCGGAATTCACTGTCACAAACAGTGGACTTTGAACTAATTTTGGCCTTTTGCTTTATCTATCACAAAATCATTTGTGAGGAAACAACAGACCACACTAGTCAACCACTCTAAACATGAATACAGTCAAGAGTCACACAGTTTATCTCAGAAATTCCAATAAATAAGAGATTAGTTCCTTTCTGCTGTCTGTGTGAATAGTCTCCAAGTCAAAAACTATGAATTAACTCATATGAATGCTGTCATTACAAATCAGATTAAACTCAGTTTTGATGTGAAGATTCCAAGTAGTGATACATTTATTCTGATAGTAAGCTATTCCTACTGTTTATTAACTTCATTATTAAATGTCTTAGCAACTTGTCAGACTTAAAATTGCAGACTTTGAAATTTCTAAAGAATGTTTCTAGGAGAGAGATTAAAAACCACCAGGCAACTATCCAGACTAAAACCCATACTGAAAGGAGATATGCATCCACCTCCCTACTGATTCAGTTTGAATCACTCCATGTAACCATAATTTTACTGCTTTATTGGGGTAATCTATTTTATGTTTTTGTTCTGTTTCATGACAGCAACATCAATTACAAAGAATAGTACCCATGATCAAACACAGTAAAAGTTGAGTTATTTAAAGATAATGCATTCTGTTTCTACAATAAACTTTAGGAGTTATTAAAGTACCAGCTGATTCAGTAAAATGATATGCTGAGGACGGTAATTCTGTTTGACAAAATGAAGCAGATACTATGTTTTCTAGACCTCTGATCATTCCTGTATATCTGTGGAATTTTTCACATGGATATACATTACCTTCAGAGCATGGAGACCAAAATTAGGCTCGGTACTTCAGTTGTGCTCTTATCAGTGCAGTAGAAGAACTATCTCCTATGTCGGTGTCTCACTCCCAAGTATGAGATTAGCCCTTCTTTTTGGCAACAAGACTTAATTCATGCTCCATGAATGTCCAAAATAACATGCTGATCCCTTTCTGCTCCATTGATGCTGTGGATGCTCTTATTCAAAGGGAGAGGTTTTGCACATATTTTTATGGGATTCAACCCTCTGTGATGAATATGCTAAGTTTAAAAAAAAAAAAATTTCTTTCCTGGGTAATGCATTCAGCAACACCTTCCATTCTTTTTGGTTTTCTTTCTTGGGCAGAAGGAACAATATTAAGATCTTATTTGTTGTCTCTCATGAAAATATTCATCTGAAGATATTGGCAGGAGCATACACTGCTATATACTTTTTAATACATTACCATCCATTGACAAATATGTATGAACTATTTAATTAATATTTTATATAACATTTACAGTAGAAGGAACAATGCACTATATTTAAACCTGCTACTGTAAAGGCCATCTCTGAGACAACCTATACAGACAGGTATCAAAGACATTCTGGTATAGCCTCAGCCTGCATAGCGATATTGGATTTTAAGGGCCATTTCCAGATGTTACAGAACAAATTTGACATAATGTTGTGCTTGTTTAATAAAGCCACAGAATCGGTTCTGCTGAAAGAAAAGGTCCCCATCTTTAAGGTTCCTTCCAACCCAAACTATGCTATAACCCTGTGAGTCATTGCAGATTTGCATTATGAGTTTTTGCAGTATTCAAACCACTCCTGTGCTGCTCGATGTCTCTCACAACAGACTGAGAATTTTTCTTGCAAAGAAGGGTCCCTGCTTTAATCTTCTCCTCACTAACACCCACCATTGTGGGCAGAGGGAAGGAATGCCGAAAGAAGTCTTGATAGTCTGTCAGAGCAGAGCAGGTGCTTTGTTAGCAATTGTGAACTTCAAAAACTTTTAAATTTAAAACCAATCAGGATGGCAAACAGAGATATTTCCAAAGCTTTCATCTACACTTTTTACAGCTGTCCTCTTTCAACTTTCATGATTTCCATAAGAAAAAATCAGCATCAGTAACACTGGAGCCGCTCTACCATAATTAATCATATTCATGACTATCTGAGAGAACAAAGTGAATTCAACATTTCCAGCCAACATAAGCTTTTTGTAATTTGGCAAGATCAGATAAAAGTTAGACTGTGCCAGAAAAACCTTCAGCTTTTGGGGTTACTCACCCTTTGTTAGTTTAACATTTGCCATTTCTGACTTACTTTTAAATTTTAGTAAAACTCCTCCTGTTATAGATAGTCATACATAAAGTATTTCAGACAGTTTAAGTTCATTTTGAATTAATAGTGAATAATAGATATATAATTATCATTCATACCAAAATTTAATTTCAAAATTAATTATGAAGAAGTCTGTTCAACAAGATGATTTAAGAGTCACTTCACGATAAAACTGAAGCAAGAGTAGAGTTAAGATTACTTTTTGCCAACAAAATTATTTTACTTTTCATTTCACATTATTTCACTTTTTCAAAACCTTTGTTTTCAAGAGAAAATATTTGACTGCTTGAATCTTTTTGGTTCCTAGCTTTTGTATCCATAATTTTGCATTCTTCTTTCACATTCTTGCATATCTTAAAAAAATTCATTTACTAAAGCTCTTTTTCTTTGTTCCCCCATGAAGAAGCAAATGCACACCTTGTGGATAGGTTGAGTGATAAAGTCATCAATCAGTCTTAGAATGTCATAAATATTTGTGCAGAGCTTTTCAGCATTTACTACTAATTAATTTGTCATAAATTACAGGATTTAAAGTTAACAGAATTTATAAATGATATAAAGCAGATGCAGTTGCCTTTAACTGACAGTAAGAACCTACAGTTTAAATCCAGGCCTTTTTCTCCGTTCCCTGACCAGTAAACGGTAATGTATTAAAACCATGTGAATGATGAAGAAAAAATAATGCCTGGGGCTGCTGGAGATTCTAAGTAATTTGCATTTCAAAAGAGACTGATGCCAGTCAACTGCATTTATTTGAAAAGCAGCCAATAAAATGGACAGCATGGAAAAGATTTCAAGCAGGAATTATTGCAGCTTCAGAGAAATGCCAGATTTTTTTTTACCAGGTAGTGGAATTGTTTTACTGGTTGCTACACATTGGTGCTTGGAAGAGATTATGCAATTATAAGAACATGGATCAAATTTGGGAAATTGTCATCTGACAATGGCAAAATCATCATGTCATCTGTTATCTTGCTTAGATTCAGTGGGATGGTAACTTTGCTGTATGCATTCTGCAAATACACAGACAAATCCTTCAGATTCACATCCGAATTTTCTCTATGATTTGAATATGGGAGTTTGGGTCTTATCAAGTGCCTTTTTTAGTGCATCAAAGTGCCAGCTTGGACAATGATGAGTTTATTGTACCAGCCAGTGGTGATAAGAAAGCAAAAGATTTTGGATAGCTCTGGTTAATGTAAATTTACACAGGGCTCTAGTTTGAAGCACAGTATAAATCAGTGATGTGCCAGTAGAAGCTCCCATGAGTTTATTTCAAAAACCTGCCCTCATATGGAAAGGAAAACTGATTCTCTCTGTATCTGATGCTAAATAGTCTCTGCTAAATGAAGAACAACATAAAAAGATTGTGATGGTACAGTGAGTCATGCTAAAAATTCAGGAAACAAAGACTACCTGTGCAGGTGGAATTAGGTGACAGCTTAACTCATCAAGTGGACAATATTTAGTGAATAAGGCTGGAACATCTTGTAAACAGGGGAGGAGTACATGTACAATAGGCAATACAATGCAGATTCCTCATTAAACTTGAGGGGGGGTGAGCAGACCAGTACGTGGAGCTCCTGTTGCTCCCAGGAACTGTGGGAAGGGTGATTAGGTACTCAACTCTTTCTGCATATCCTATACCTTGAGAGACGTAATAGACTCATATTTTTTTTCACCAGCTATTTGTATGGTGTCACCCTCCGGCTCTAGTCCTGGTGCTCAACCTGCTACCGGCAGGTTTCAGATTTAGGTCTGGATTTTCACAACATCCACAATTCTAGGACCTTAGTTGGGGTTAATGTCTAATGTTTGGTGCCATGATTTATTGTGTTAATTTATTAAATTATATGACTTTGATATTGTTGTCAATACAAATATCAAGAGGGCAGTCATTCAGACACTGAAAGAAACTTGTGGCAGAACATGTGTCATTCAGAAAATCCAGTGCAGATGGAGGTGCTCTTCAATTTGATGACTTTGCTTCTTTGAGCGTTTTCTTTCATCTATGTCACTGCTGTGTTGCGCAGGATTCTTCAGAAGAAGTATCACAAAAAATGCAGTATACAAGTGTAAAAATGGAGGCAACTGCGAGATGGACATGTACATGAGAAGAAAATGCCAGGAGTGCCGTCTAAGGAAATGCAAGCAAATGGGCATGTTGGCTGAATGTATGTATACAGGTATTTGCATCATATAGTCAGAGTGTGCATCAAATACTGTATTTGCTTAATTAGTCTGTTTTTAATAATTAAGGTATAAAATATGTCATTTGGCAGGTGGGAGGTGTATTAAAGATGATGCCATGCCTCTGCATCAAATCCCGTTGAAAAAGACAAATGCACATAGAAGCAATGAGATTTTGTTAGCAGTCAGGGATGCAAGGGTGTAGGAGCTGAGCAAATGGTGAAGGAAGGGCTATCCTGCACTAGATGACAGCTACAACTCTGCTTGAGTGGGAGGGAAGAGCAGTCAGGTTAAGCAAGTCTCCCAGGAGTGAGGAGTTTGCAGTGTTGGGGAAACCAGAGCAGGAAAGTCCTGGCGCTTTTATTTCCTGCTCTTTCTGGGGCTCTCCCTGTCAAATTCTTGCTAGCCAAGTCCAAATTTTGGCACACAAACAATGCCATTTTCAAGAAAAGAGTAAAAATGTTGCTAGCAGGAAGTTTCTGTGGACTTGCCAAGTGTATGTTCCCAGACCTCACCCAGCAATCAGGAAAAGGCTGCTAAGGGCTAGCCCTTTTTTATAGTCTCATTAGCTTTTCTTATGGCACTATAGATTTTCCTGCCTTGCATATAGGCACATAGGTAGAACTGTCTCCAGAAATGAACTTGATGGATTTTAATAATGTTTCATATTAAAGTAAATATTCTATTCAGATGAACCAGTTTATAAACTTTATTGAGCTTCAAACTGGATAACAGAGAATGACAGGGATATTTGAGTGCAACTTCGAACATGTTTAAAGCTCCTTTTTGAGTTACTGCACTATTTTTCCAAGCTTGCTCCTGAAAACAATCTGTATACATCTGCTATTCTGCCTTCCATGAATAGGACTACATTTTATTTTTCTTGATGGTTCCAATCACTTTAGCATATACATATGTGTGAAACCAGTTTAGGTTCATACAGGAAATTAATCTACTTGGAATTTTTAATATATTTTTATCCTCTAATCTGATCAGAAGATGCTATATTAACTGTTGGTTGTGTGAGAAACAATAAGCTTCATCAATATTTGGAAGGCGTTGCCAGCATAATGTAATTAATCTTTCATTCTGCAAATTGAACAGGCTGCAAAGATCCTGAGATATGACATATTCTTGAGCAATACATAAATATGTGAGCACACAACACTGTGATGACAGAACTCAATGTGTCCTGCAGTGTCAGAGGAAAATAACTCCCCTGTGGACCTAATCTCTGATCCATTGTTCCAAAATTTTGAGGGTTTGAAATAGCTTGATTCACTCAGCGTGACAAAAGAAACAACCCATTGCTGAAAAAAACCAGGTCAGTGTAAATAATACTGACTGGGACCACATGAAACTTTTATACTGGTCTATCATTTTCACAAACTGGCATATGTGAAATAAAAGCCAGTGAGTGCCACTGCCATCTGACTCTCTCTCTGCAATGGAAACGTGGGGTATCTCGTGTTGCTCATGACTTAACCATAAGCGTGCTCTAATGCACTGCAATGAGGATGTTTGGCAAGGCACTATTTAATGGCTTTTAAGTAGGAGTGTGCTGTATAATTGCTTTTAGTTCAAGGCAATACAGGACAGTATAACATGTAACTTCTAGTAGTATAGAGCATTTATGTGAAAAAATATGACTAGGAAATAAAAGGTTACCTTGAACTTTGTTTCAGTTGCACATTTTGTAAGATTGTAATTGCAGGTTCTGTGGGTTCTTTTTCCCCTCTGAACAAGGAGGTAGAGTATTATAAATATTTATGGCATGGCTACTCAACAATCCTACTCCTGCCCTCTATACACAAAGTACAGACAGACTAAAATTACTACCCATCAGTTTCAGTAATTTGCTGTCATTTTGGTCTAAACTGCAAATATTTGGGTGAAATGTCTACCTAGGGGAGACTCTGGTTCTGCAACTCTTCCTGGAATTTAATACCCATTGAAACCTAGATACCTCTGAGGTAAAAAGTAAAGTCCTGTCTCACACATGAGTTTTTCAACTGACTTAAATGGAGCCAGAATAAGATGTCAAGGTAATACTCAGTAGCAGGAAGCGTGAGAAAAATTTGTCTTAATGCTTGAGGCAAATGTAAAGCCAATTTTCCCTAAGAAGGCAGTAGACCAGACCCTAAGCTGGTGGAAAAAAGCACAAGCCCATTAACACTACCAAAGGATGCACTGAATAATTTAGAAAAAGAAATCTATGGTGCTGTGTGGCACCGCAAATTACATGGCTCAATACCAATTATTATCTCCATCGTTCCTATTCCTTCCTTTCAAGGTATTATTTGCTGGTCTTATTTTAATCATGTAAATTTCCTCTTCTCTCAGCAGTTCAGGTAGCTTATTTTATATAGGGCTTAAACAGGAAATTAAAAACATTCACAACGAAATTCACTCTTTACATGGTATCTTCCTCCACATCATATACTCACCGAAAGAGCTTATTTTCCTGCTCTGCATTTTCAAAGATGAAGAATGGGAAGAATACTTGAAAGAAGCAAAGAAAGAAAGAAAGAAAGAAAGAAAGAAAGAAAGAAAGAAAGAAAGAAAGAAAAAGTCAGTCCCATGCTGATGGGTTTATTTTTAGATGAATACTTAGCTGTTTACTTGTTCATTTGTGCTTTCTGACTGTCTTCCACAGCTTGTGTAGGGTACCTATTGTCCCTTTCTTTTGTTAGCACAAGCAAATTGATAATTTTTATGACATCCACTCAAGGATGTTCCCTGGTCTGAGGTACTGAAATGAAGCCTAGAACAAAAAAAAAAAACAACAAAGAAACAAAAACCCCTCCAAACCACAAGTGCAAAAATCTTTTTTCATTACGGCAAGAGAAACTCTGTAATAAAGCCAGGGTTTTATACGGTCCTCTAATACAATGAATAGCAAAATGACAAGACCAACTGGTAAAGTTTTAAATAAATACATTTTAAAGGTACATTTGCCGGCCTGAATTACTTTTTACTCTTCGTATTTAGCTGTTGGTTTATCTATAGTGACACAGTAGTAGATAAAGCCCTGGATCCACTCTTCTTAGCAGGCTTTCTGTCTGAAGATTCTGCACAACAGATATAATATTGCTTAAATATTATTGAAAATATCCAGTGCCCTTTGTGTAAAAACAGATGCACCTGGATTACCGTATTGGATCAGATGAGGAGCAGATGAGGAGCACACTTTCGATGACAGTCTTCCAATTGCTCCTATTTTATTGCACTTTGGTTCTGGTCTTGGAGCACAGGAAGAGATTTTTTTTGGATAAAACAAAACCAAAGGCATAATCCAGCACACTCCCATCACTAACGGGTTTTCTGTCTGTAAGAATAGATTAGAGCTGGTCCAAAGCAGGACCCGTAACATGCTCATTGTGTGGATGCTGGATCACCATAAACAACTGTTTTGCTCTGCAGATGAGCTCCATCTGGGCTAGACTACTCATTAGTGTGTACACAGCATGACTCATTAGACCAAAGATAATGACACATGCAGGAAATGATCTGCACAGGTAAGCGGGTTTGTTGGTGTAAAGGGCATTCACAGGCATGCTTATGTACCTATTCAGTGCCTGAGGCATATATAAATCAAATTGCTTTGTGTTGGATTATGTGTTCTAGGCCTATTAACCGAGATACAGTGCAAGTCAAAAAGGCTCCGGAAAAATGTGAAGCAGCCCCCAGATCAGACAGTCAATGAAGATAATGACAGCCATGACGTGAAACAAGTAACATCTACAACTAAAATATATAGGGTAAGAGAATTCTTGTAATAGTTTGTACAGTACTGGTGGTTTTTGTTAAATGTGTCTAGTATAGTGAAAATAGAGTATTGCAAACTCTCTGGAACCGTCTCTATTAGTTAAAACTCGATCCTCCATCAAGCCAAGGAAGTACCTTGAGTAGAGAAGTCAAAACTCTATATATGCTGTAAAGCATCTGTAAAATCCATACAGTATTTTTTTTCTGTGGTACATATGTCAGGCATATATCACATATGGTGATGTGTGATAATAAAGCTTGAACATACCTAGTTATTTGCTAAACATTTCCTTATTTCTAATAATTAACTACACAAACCCATGCAGTTTAAAAACATTATACACCTCTCTTCTGTACACTTCTACAAAAACCGCAGTGACAAGCAAACCTCTTATATGCTTGGTCTGAAGTGTGAAAAATAGAGGTATGGCTTTTGCCTAAAGCAAGAGATATTAGATCATTTCTATGACTGTATATCATGATGGGCTCTTTTTTTTTTTTCTTTTTGCCAGTATAGGAGAAAGTAGAGTTTACCCCAGAACAGCAGAACCTTCTTGATTATATCATGGATTCATACAGTAAACAACAAATACCACAGGAGGTGTCAAAAAAACTAGTAAGTATATTGATGAATTCATTTTTGAGATAGGGATAATGAAGCTGAGGATTACATGGCAAAAAATATTTTTAGTCAGCATAAATAGGTGTAGTAAGTAGTAGAGTGAACTTTGGGTAAAAGCTTACAGTTTAAGTGTGCTGCAAGTGGGGCAGAATCTCTCCCATTCAGTCAACAGTTAGACCACATCTTTATCAAACTTAAATGTTAAGAAAAACTTTAAACTCTAGAATAACACGTTTATGCTCAAATCTAACCTGTGTTGATTGGAGCTTTGTTTTTTGCCTTGTTAGTGTAGGCAGTGATTTGAGTTTGACTTGCTGTTGAGCTTCCTTTCTATGAAGACACCAGCCTGGGAACTTGAAAATATTTAACTTTTTTTTAACCCAAATTCCAAGATTTTCCAAGTTTTGATTTTTGTTTAATCCTCTCTTCTTTCTTTTTCCTCTATACCCTCTAGAAATTCCATTTTCCTTTAAGAACTCCCAGCTTTCATGGTAGGATGGAAAAAGGCTGGGAAACAGGGAGAAGAGGAAAAAAGGATTTTAAAGAGATACATTTTTAAAATAAAACTGTAATGTTCAATCTTGAAAAAACAAACAAAAAACCAAACAAACCAACCAAAAAAACCCAACCAAAACAAACTTAAAATGACAACTACTGTAGAAAATAATTTCCTAAGTCAACAGCTTTGAAAACTAGAACAAAGTCACTTGCAGGGGAAGGGTTGAATGAGCCTTAACTAACTTGTGGAACTTATTCTGTGGGAGACTGAAGAGGTCAAAAAAAGAAAAAAATGCCAAAATAGACAAATTCATTTATAGCAAGGCCTTTGTTTAAATATGATGATAGCCATAAAAATTCTAGATCAATAAGTGCCTAAATCATTGCTAGACACTGAAAATAATATATATTCCAGAGAAAAGACACATTGTCTAATTCTTTTACTTCTTACATGGCCTTCCAAAATACTTGGTTTTGACAACCACTGGAGACGAATTACAGTGTTAGGTGGAACCCTTGCCTGGTCCCGCCTAATAGTTCTTATATTTTATACTCTTAAATGTGAAGTGTCAGTGAAAATTAACAGATTTTTTTTTTGTTTGATTTCTAACAGTTAAACGAGGAATTCAGTGCTGAAGGAAATTTTCTGATTTTAACAGAAATGGCTACCAGTCATGTGCAGGTTCTTGTGGAATTCACTAAAAAACTACCAGGTATATCCAGTGTTTTGGGGCAAATTTTGCTATTGCAAAGTTTAAATGCCTTTCAGTTGCCATTTGGCAATTGTGCATATTTTGAAGAGCATATGAAAATTCCTCCTCTTCCTCCACATTGTTCAGACACTGTCTAAAGAAAAGGTGCTTTGTGCTCAGAAGAATAATATGCTGAATAATTCAAACTCTGCCACTTTGAGATGTAGCACTCTTTACCTATTGAGAAACAAAATGCTCAGAGAAGGGATTGTGTCTCTAGAGAGACACATAATTATTACATATATATAACATATACATTATATGTATATATAATTATTTTCATTTATTGCTGCAATCTAATTACTGCTAACACTTGCCAGACTCTGTTTCCTGCTCTTTACTGCCTTTCTAGCAATGCCTCTGGGTCATAATATCCACTGAAATGTGAGTCACACACAAAAAGTTGGTGGCACCAATATTTATGGTCCTTGCACTGTGTGTTATTGACAAACACTGAAAATCTGAGTTTATCACTAGTATTTTTTAACTTCCAAGTTGATGTTACCTCAGTACTGAACACTGGACGTGGTAGAGATTCCCTTTAATTAAGGAAGGTGCATTTTAACACTTAGCTGTACAAAACCAAGATTTTCCTGGTCCTTCCTCTGTGTCTCACAGGCTTGCTTTAAAGCCTGGTACTGCAGTTGTAACTGTATTTTTTAATGTTAACTGGGATACAGGCTTGTAGGAAGTGAAGAAGGGAGGAGATTTGTAACTGAAAGAGAAATGAATATTTAAAACACAGCAGGAAGCTTCTGTGTGAAATAGTATATTAGTCCAAAGGCAAGGTGAAATGTTTAAAATTAGATGCTTCAAATGCTCATTTTTGCCATCAGAGCATGGAAAGGTCTGAAAGCAGCATGGCAGTGGGAAAGCCGTATAGAGAGCTCTGGTGGAAACATGAAAGAAGATATTAGGGAGTAGGATAAGGCTAGACAAAATTCTACTGGTTATGCTACACCACTAGATTTTGCTTATCACGTTCCTCTAAAAGTACCATGAACACTGAAACACATGTAATCCTCATACAATTTGGTGAAGTTCAAATATGTGTCATTTTCTGGAATCCAGGTTAGAATTTATGCAGCACATGGCAACCCTACTGACACCAACATCAAGGTTACGCAAATGAGTGGCACCTCACGTGCAAGAATTTCAGGACAGAAAGAAGTGGGAACTTTCACCATTGCTGCCTGACTTATCTCTAATGTCTCCACAGGCTTCCAAACTCTTGATCATGAAGACCAGATTGCTTTGCTGAAGGGCTCAGCAGTAGAAGCCATGTTCCTCCGTTCAGCTGAGATCTTCAGCAGGAAACTTCCTACAGGACATACTGTCCTTTTAGAAGAAAGAATTCGCAACAGTGGTGAGTGTGTTGTTTAATGAGGAAAAAACAAACCACAGCATTACACTTCTCTGTCAGTATTTGGCCCTTGGAAAGCTAGTAAAATTGTTTATTAGCACTGAAACGGATTTATCTGAATGTTGTTCTTTATACTAACTAGAGCAAACTTAACTCAGCCTTGAGTCTAAAGCTCAAAAGGTTAAGGTTTCTTTATAAATACATTGCAAGTATTATGAATAATGCTATATCAAATAAATGCAGTGCATGTCTCCAATCATAGACATGAAAGAACAGTGAAGAAGAAATATCACTATTATAATTTTTTCACATAAAGTGTGCTTTCAAAAGCAATCATTGTAAGAAGGAAAGAAAAAGTGATTTTAGGGTGTTACTGGAGATGACTGAAGGGAACCACCTATTCTTAGGGCCAGTTTGGTAAAACTAAATGACACTGCAAAAGGTGTATAGAAGAATTATAAACATGGCATGTTCTCAGTGTGTTTTCTGATTCTTAAGGTCCATCAAAGGCTCAGTGACTCTGATAAATTCCACTGGTTCTAGACATAAATCTTAATAATTATGAAAAGCCAAATGGTTCTAGATATTGCTTGTTCCTTAAAGCAGGCAAAGCAGTATTTTGTCTTATTATGTATTCTTTGTGCTCCACTGATGTAATACTGAATGTTTTCCATTTTTCTGTATTGACCAGCAAGCTTTGTCTAAGCCTCAGCTACCTATCATTGAAAATTCAAATCACAGAATACAGAATATGCCAACAATTCTGAATCAGAGAGTCAGCTTATAGATTCTGGCTTCTGACTTTCTGTTTTAAGAGTCAGAAAGAGAAGAGACAGAAGAACATGTAAACTCAATACTAGTCATGAAAATGGACATGAACTCAGTTCTGAAACTCTTAATCAGAAAGTACTACTGATGTATGCAAAATTAAGCCAATACTTATATACTGGAAACACTGAAAAGGAGTTAGAAGATTTAATAATAATTCATTTGTTGCAGGTATGTATTTATTTTGCCTTAGCACACTTATTTATACGTCAATATTTAGTAGTTTTTTATATTTCTTTCATTTTGATTGATTGTAAGAGGGTACTGTTTGATGGACTGGAAATGATGACTTCCAGAGTGATATGAATAGCTCCTTGTCCAGGTTCTGCAGGCAGATAAGCTTGTCAAGAAGGCCAGATGTATTTCCTGGAAACTGTATTGAGTGTATCCAAATCTCTTCATTAAGAGATTTTTCTATTGGTTTATAACCTAAATTTTTTATAAAAATAGGTCTTAGAGAAATTAATCCATATGGCTACATGATTACTGAAAACTTCTCTCCTCTAAACTATACAGTGAGTATCATCCTTCTTGTTCAAGGTATCCACTGTTCATAAAAAAATCAGAAGCAGAGGAAATACTTAATCCAGACCATTACATAAGCCATTATGTCATACCAATAATTTTTCCTTAGTCGTAATTTTAAAGTATTCTGTTAATTCTCTGCAACTACTGAATCCAGATAAGATGCAATATTATTTTTTGCAAGTTTGTATTAGACTTAATGATAACACTTCACAACACTGCTAGCTGCAATATTACATTGCATTCTGCATTAATATTATTTACTTGTTATGAAGCAGATTTGAAAAATAGCATTTTGTGTAGGAGAAAATGTCAAGACAAGTATCCATGTCAAATGTGGTATTGTTTACTCCAAAGAAAGATTTCCTGCAGTTCTTTTTTTCTGGGGGTAAAAAACCCTCCAAAGTAAATTAAAAATGGATTCTGGATCAGACCAAAAACCTAGGCTGAATAGTTCCCAAGAAATGAAACACAATAACTTTTTTAATGTGTATATATATATGCATGTTTCTTTTTGCCCTTGGAAAAGGTTTTCTAAAACATCTTCCCTGAAGCCAGGCTCAAGTTGGAGACATAAGAGGAAATACTGCTAGAATTTCTCCCTCCCTATATTACGGAAGGATAATGCATTATCTAGCTTACTGCTGCTGACTGCATTCTTTCCTTCTATTAAAAGGCAGAATAGAGAACAAAGTACCCTTTTCCATATATTTTATTTCTCCACTCTGTGCAAATTCAAGCCTACTTAAAAAGATTTTCCTTGACTGCATTTAATGGGGCTGTGACAGTAAACAACAAAAGCAGCTTGTAAATCTTTGCATTGTAGCACTGTTAACTTAATTGCTGTACTAAACCTATTTAAATAAATAAAACTTAAAAATAGTTTTAAAATACCTACTACTGAAATAGCTTATTTTTGTGGCTTAAATCCTCATCATTTTCAGGTGTTGCAAGTTTAAAAAAAATTAAAGAAAAGCATCCAAATTCTTCTGTTATCGTTGTTTACACATATGGCTTTCAAAAACATTAAGTATTATATGTTAAAAATATTAAATATGCATGTCATAAGACTCAACATCAGGACTCTGGGTTGAATAGTAACCTGTACCAAACGTGACATCAGGGTAGAAATGTAAGCAGTCTTTTCCGGCCTTAACCAGTAAGGGCAAACACTACTAAAAGTTGCAGCTGGCCATTATGTTATAGACTGGTCCAAGAGATAAGACTGCCAGAAGAGATTAAACATTTTTTTTTACAAACACCTCACTGGAAAAAAAAAAAAAAAAGACTAAATGCAGTGAACTGAAACTTACAAAGAAAATAGAGAACAGCAGAAGAAATTCAGTGATGGTTGAATGAGAGTTTAAAAATTAAGTTTATAGGTGATAAATGGAAAAACAGTATCAAGATTATTCATGGCTCCTAGTGAGATCCTAAACACTGTCACGCCAGCAGCCACAAAATATTGCTGTTAGTCAGAACTTCTGTCTGCATATTTTTAGGTGCAGACAAATGCCTAAATATCACGTAAGTCCTATTGTCAAGCCTTGATGCTTCTATCCATAAAATCAGGGAGGGTGGTGGTGATCCTGCCTAAAAGTCAGTAGCTGTCCAGATATGTCACCTGCCACCAAGTCCACTTTGAAGCTGCTCTCTTGTATTAATATTTATGCCTTCCCCAGTTTGATTGTATGGAATGGTTTGTTGGTTTTTTTCTGATATAGAAGTCAGAGATTTGGTGGCGATGACCTTTGAGCATTATCAGCGTTCATTTTCATTCTCATGCTGATGAGGTGCATTTTTATTTCTTAGCTTGCGCATATTGCTCAAGTCCTGTTGCATCTCAGAGACTGTGCCCTGATGGTCTTTTCATAAGGTGTTATGGAAATTATTACATTAGCTGCTCCTGTGACTGAAATCTTCTCCTACTCACCCTAATGTTAAGACTTTATGAAAAATACAGACATTTTATTTAATATTATTGAGAATTTGTGCCATTTATCTTAGTAGATGCTTCATTATGCATACACCACATTGTGACTGACTCTTTTTGTGAAAGGCTGACATTCTAGTAATTTAATGCTTAGATATTTTTCTGTTATTTTGAAGGTAAATTCTCCCCATTATTGAGCAGTATAGTATTGTTAAAAAACAGTGCTGAGATAGTGAATTATTTTCTCAGTGAGCATTTGTAGTTCGTTTTCCTAAGGATACCAACTTTCAGTGGTCATAAACAGACACGGATTTTTATTTCATCATTTTATTCTACAGAGCTGTTCTACAAATTTGAGTATTGGGAAATAAGATACTATCTGATATTAACAGAAATGGAAGAATCTGGACACAAATTTTAGGTTGGCAGCAGGACAACTGACATTGTGAAATACACTGTTGTCTTCCTGGATGGGTTACAGGTGCTGAAGTACAGTCAGATCCAAGGAAAAAAAAGAATTAGCTACACTTCCAAACCACTGGCAAGAGGCCACCTTTTGCCATTGAATGGGGGATACAAAGTTCCCATTAATTTGGACAAGAGATTCCTGCAACCAAAGGCAAAATTTGCTATCAGAACCATGGAGAGCTAATAACTTCCATTGTCTTTGGCTTTTATCATTTGGTTATTGGTACTGAGTAATGGTGGTGTTTCAAACCCCCATTGTACTGGGGTTTGTGCAGAGAAACAAAATGAAATTATCTTCACTGATGAGTCCAAAGTGTCTAACCCTTGAAACAGTCACATGCATCCTCATGGAAAGACACACCATTCTGTGACTCGACTCAAAACTGGCACACTGCCTAAAACATTTAGAAATTAGGACCACTTTAAATTGCAGAATATCGGAAAGAGCTTTTCTGTTTGCATACCTTTCCTGCACGTTGAGTTAGCCAGTGCTATGTTCCTGAATTACAAATAAAGTCGCTGAAAGTATTTAAATTATATCTGCAGAGTAGATTTATACCCATGAAAACAAGAACAGATCTCAGGGACTCAGTCTCTTTTCTTCTATGTAAGCATGCTTCTCCAGGCCAAAAACTTATTTAGACTCTACCTACAAAGATGAGCTCAAGGCAGTGCAGATGCTACTGCTCTGTGCCAGACCAAATTTGTCTCCTGATTGCAAGCACTCAGGCTACTGCCAAAGGATGGTATGTGACAATGTCATTTGCACCCTCCTTGCAGGTTTGGTTGGTTTTTTTTTCTAACTAAGGTTTCTTTGCTTGCAATACTGAGTTCACAGAAGTCCTATGGATTGCTTTAAAGGAGATGGAGTTTTGCTATCGTGATTCTGAGTTCTCCTTGACACATGCTAACTTCTCATTTAAGTTAGCCATTTAATCCCTACAAGATGGTGACAGACAGAAGAGAGGTCATGTGCACTGCTCCAATGTGTCTTCTCTACCGGCTAGATTTTCCCCTATTCGGCATCAATGGGGTGAATTTGGTCCCTGATACATACAAGGGCCACTGATACATTTGAATAGCTCAGAAGGGAGAGCTCATAAGCAGCACGGAAAGTAGTTCTGGTAGATAAAATACTGTGCAAGATAAAATGTAAGTTTGCAAGTAATTAAAATATTTTATTTGCATAAAGCAGCTGCTAATATACCCTTGGTTTCATATCCACTGCCACCTCCACGTTTATCAAGAAAAAGATCTCTTTATCTATATTAATAACACAGCGCTAGTTACTGTTAATTAGTACATACTATCAAGCTTTCTTCTTGCAAAAGATTAATTATTCAATTTTATCAAACAGAGAAGATAGGAGTGAGAATACTGTTTCAAAAAGCTGCCAATACTGACTTGATATCACACTAAAACCACCTACCCCAGGATTACATTAACCAGATAATTATTTATGGCCTGAAACTGCAAACCTTATGAAAGCATCAGTCATCTTAACTTTATAGAGAAAACATAGCAACGAAACTCTAAAAAAGGCAGGGTCTAAAGCAACGTTGTGTCTTAACCTACAAATGGGGATGAAATTACCCAAGTAAGGGGTGCTCAATGAATAATGTTCATGGGTTTAAATCTGCTCTAATCTGATGCTGCAAGGCTGCACTCGGTAAAGCTCATATTTCTGATTGACTACACTTGGGTTTACAGCCAGTCATGCATTAACATAGAGAAATCAATCAAATGATCTGTAATATCTTCTGCAGATGATTGAGTGGGGCTGGTAGTCAGGTAGAAATCTGTGCAATTCAGAATAATGCCCAAGGACCTGTGAAGGACGAGCATGTTCTTATTGCCGTAATGCTGCGTGAAACAAAGTTTTGAAACCTTTTTGAAATAAGCATTAGGAAGGAGGACTATTAGCACTGACCAGGAAGCTCTGCCTGCCTGGCACAGCACAGTGCAGGGCTCTTGGCTGATCTAGATAAAGAGGGTTAAACAGAACTAATTTTTCTATTCTTATTGAGGCCAGAAATATAACTATATATATTTGATTTTTTTCTCACTTTTGGGGTATAAGTTGCAACAATGGCATTGGGAAAGTCACGTAATTTATTTCTTCTCTAGTGTTTCCCATTACAAGTGCCAAGTCGCCTTTAATTCTTGTTCTGATAATCTGAATTGAAGTGACAACATATTTTACAGTAGCTAAGAAAAAGAAAGTAAGAACCACAAACATCTGTTTCCTGTGTTTTCTGCTTTTTTTTCTTTCTGTTGGAGCTTATTAAATCCAAACTGAAGCATTTCAATCACATTAGAAAACAGCCCCCTCTTGTGACGGAAGAGCAATTTGCGTAATGTGCAAATGATGATAGGAAACCACAGCACAGATGGGATGATGACAAAACTAGTAACTAATAGAAAATTCCATTATCCTAGTCTCAAAGTTGCTCATTTTGCATGGTTTTGTTAATAATTGTCTTGTGATTTATCGGTTTAAAGATTTCAGCATTCTATTCTCTTTAGTAAAAGTCAAAAGGTAAATCAGTTGCATTGCCGAAATATCCCTTTTTATTCCCTTTCCTCTCTTCTATTTTGTTTTATTTCTCTGTTTGGAGTACAGTAATGCAGAGAAGTTCTCTGCCATAATTTCACTTGTTTCCACATCTATACTCATTTTTTGCTTCACTCATCCATACTTTAGTTTATTAGGGTTAGCTTATAAGCTTTGTGAGACAGGGATTGTTTTACTACGCGCTTATGCAGTGTTTGGACCAGTGAGGACCTGAATTAATTATTCCTCACTTTGTTCCCCAGCATCATTTTCACCCAGCCTCTGCTGTATCAACAGCAGGACTTCAAGAGTTTGTGGTCAGCAAGACAATAAATTCATCCAGCTGAAAGCTAACCTGACTTTCAAAAAAAAAAAAAAAAAGGAGAGAGAAAAAAAGAATCTAATTATGAATATGAGAAGCAAATGATGGGAGTCTTAGTCACAGCCCACTTCCTCCTATTTCTTGTCTGCTGCCAAAACGATTGTGCCCAGCGGCACGATACCTTGCACAGAGACTTCTAAAAATATCAAGTTTGTCTTGGACTTTTCTCATGTCATTGCTGAGTTATTAACTTCCATGAAAGGAATTCATTTGCTCTGCTTTAAGGCTCAGATTTTTTTCCTGTTTCTAGTTTCATGCAAACTTTAAGACTTTGATGTGCCATAGGTATGTGTTACTTATATATTGTAAGGAACTTTGGTGTTTAAAATCGCCCAGGAGAGAGACAGGTGGTTCCCCAAAAGTTAGCAATAACAAGTGTTCAAAATTTGAAATAGTTAATGCTGATGACTAACAACATAATCCTCACAGAACATTAAAATCTCTGACTATTGTTTGCTCTGTAAAAAGCTCCAGCTGTGTTACTAACTTCTACAGGACGAGCTGACCTGCATCATATATATCTGCTTAATTAACTTAGACTCAGTAGTGTTGAACTCATTACAAAACCAAAATTTGTGGCTTGTAATCTGAAGTGAATATAGGTTGCTCATGTCATGTGTTTAAACACATGACTCAGCCATGAAATAAACCACACCCTGCAAGACCATTCTTTCACCGTTGGGACACATAACTATTCCACTGGATGAAGTAAATTCATTGTCACAGCAAAATGTGACTGTTTCATGGTTAAGTCAAGTGACTTTTTGTTTCCTTTGTTTGAGTTCCACCTGGTGAGTTTCATTTTGACTTTCCCCTATTGGAGACACTCCAAACATAACCAGTCCTGGACTTCAGCTTTGTGCTGTACTGAGCACTCAAAACTGCATTATTTCATGCGATTTCCACACCAAGTTATAAAGGCTTCTCCTAGAACAGCTCAGAAATAAGAGTAAAACTACAAGAGGTCCTATGGAACTCATGTATGGCAACAGAGGAGGTTTCCATCTTTTCAGCCAAGGAAGGCCAAAAGGCTTTTGCTGCAGAACCGCTGGTTTGGATGTCTACACTTCATCAGTGCCACCATTTCAGAGTTGCAAGCAGCTGCTGTCAATAATCTAGTGTCTGCTCTGAGTGACTCATACATCATTTCGAAAAATAATAATTTTGATGTCACAGGACCTACTTCTCTTTTACACCAAAGAGCAGAATGGAGTACATCTGTAATTTAAGGCTAACTAAGAACATTGTGACCTGATGACAAAGTCAGTAAGAGGAAGCCCCATTGACATGCCGCAGTTTGGTAACCCCAAAAGGGTTTGCTGATGGTGAGAGAATCACATAATCCCATGGTTAAATTTGGCTGGATTTTAGTTATTTATGGCTCTATATTTTATAATACACTATTTTATGCTTTAAAGTAGTAGTAGTTGCAGGCAAGTTGATCTTGGACTACAGATAATCCTAGACCTAACTAAAGTTTCATGCTATATAGAAGGAGTAATTAAGTGTCTCTGTGGAGATGACTGAAGCAACTGCCTGAGGCAGTTAGCTGTGGAGTAGAGTTGGGCTAGAGTTAAACCATATGCCCTGAGAGAATTCCACATTATTAATGCAGAGACAGGGAACATGGGGACTGCTTCGAAAAGAGGAGGCAGTTAGAATATGAGACAGTGAGGAAATCATGTATGAGACTTGTCCTGAAGACCCAGATGAACATACCTGTAGAGGAAAATTAATTATTTGAAAGACTTTGAAACCATGCAAAAAGGAATTACCAGTAGGTGCCCATGTCTAGTCTGCTCTAGAAAACAAGGATATGCTCACACTTTTGTAATTGTCTTGAATCAGGTCTGATTTGTGTAGTAAATTTCTCCCACCAAGACAATAATTATGAAATAAAAAATAATTGCTATATAGCAATAAATTGGATTGTTTCAATAATTAAGAAATACTATAACTTTTTTCTCTCCCACAGGTATTTCAGATGAATTCATAACTCCCATGTTTAATTTTTACAAAAGCATTGGAGAGCTAAAGATGACACAGGAAGAATATGCACTGCTCACAGCCATAGTTATCCTGTCTCCAGGTAAGTTCCTATCCGGAATTAAATATTTGTGATTCTGGGAAGAAAGCACGCAGAGTGTGACCTTGTGTTCTACATGGAGTGAGCATACATGCTTATTCAGTATATTTAGTTGTTAAGCCAGAAAACAAGTACACAAATCCGAACACCAAATGTCCTGTTACATCATTTTGTTTTGCATACAAGGAAAAGAGTGGTTAAATACTCTGCTTAAAAAAAATTACTGGTGTCTTTTCACTGCTTAGCACAACAGGCTTCTTCCTTCAGAAAATCCCATGTGGTTACATGCTCATCACTACTGACAATTGTGGAATGTCATATTTTTAGAGGGAAATTGGGAAACCCTATAACTTAGAATAGAATAAAGCAATGAAGGTCTTCATCCTTTGTTGGACAAACACCAGATGCCAAGAGCAGAAGGACAGTAGCAAGTTGCCCTCTTGACTATTAAATTGTTGAAAACAGACCTTTTGGAAGTATTGGCATGATAGCATCTCTGCCCTCATTACAGGCTCTGCCATGAAATCTAATTCTTTGGCAACACAAAGCTAACCATCTCTACATACAGAATATAGAGAAATTGTATAGTGCATCAAACAAACTGACTATCACAGGAATGGGAGAAGAGAAGCTTGATGCTTCAGGGTAAAAGATGGACAGTGAGGTTTCCAAATCAGGTTTCATGGAAGATGGGAAGGTGAAGCATTTCTATCACTCTTTGAATCAGTGTGTCTCAGGAAATTATTTTACATTAAAACTTTCAGTGACAAACCCCCATCCTCCTCTTTTCCTCCCTCTCCAAGTACCCAAACACATACTTCCATATGAACAAAATAAAAAGACAAGTATTTTCTAACAAAGAAATTTCATCTGAGGATGAAGATGTTTGATTTTGCCCTGGTGACCCACTTGTAACCTCTCTGTACTGGCCAAATTCCCCGGGAGTACTACACCTCCAAGGTCTTATGCTGCGTTGCTCAGTTGTTGCAGTGCATCACAAAACATACTCAGGTGCAGAACCACATGGGGATATGATGATAAAACCCCAGTGAAACATTGCAGAGTTAAAACACTTTGGTTTTTGAGAAAGATAAAAGTTTTCCCTAGCCAGAAGTGGGAAGTTTACATGAAAACCCTAATGTAAAAATACAATGTTAAGCATTTTTATTTCCTCTTAATTTGAAAATAAATATTCTTGGTAGGTGTGAACATCAGTGGTCCGTGTAAATATTTGAATATTTTTATATTATCAGTGTAAATAATTGCAATGGATCATAGTATGTATTTGCTAACTACTTCTTTCCTTTTAAAACCATAACCAGATCGACAATACATAAAGGACAGAGATTCTGTGGAAAAGCTTCAAGAACCACTGCTGGATATTCTACAAAAATTCTGCAAACTTCACCACCCAGACAACCCTCAACACTTTGCATGTCTTCTGGGTCGTCTCACAGAATTACGGACATTTAACCATCATCACGCAGAGATGCTGATGTCATGGAGAGTGAATGATCACAAATTCACACCACTTCTCTGTGAGATCTGGGATGTGCAGTGATGGATACTTTTTTATTTTAGGAGAAATATCTTTTTAAAGGACCACATAACATTTACTTTCATAGAAAAGTATCCCACAGTGCATTGTATCTTCTTTAATGCATTTTTATAGAAACATGACATGGATTCATAAAAGTCATTTTGTTCACTATGCACAGAATATTGTATAGCTACCAGATCTTCACATGTGAGTATAACTTTTTCTGTATTTATACTGTCTGATCAGAAAGAGCCCACCAGCTCCTCAGAGGAACAGTTAATTCCTTCTGTGATTAAGCTGATTGGAGTTACAGTTCCTCTAGAGAAATGGGGAAATGCAAGTTTCCATTCGTATTTTTCATTTCAGTGGTTTTTTTGTGCTTTGCCTCTGTTAAAAACCATATTCCATATATTTACTGTAATAAACCATATGAAATGGTTAATGCCATAGTCATTTGCTGTTTAGCTGTGAAATGTTTTCATATAAGGTGTGCATGATGTTATTTCTTCACAAGAAGAAACACTATGAAATGGAGAAAAGTCACACGAAAACAAAACCCCTTTTCATGATATAACATGTAGCTTCATTTGCATTACTATTTCAAAGTAAAAATTATACAGTATCTGTACTTCGTGAAAGTGTGTCACAAAATAATGACACAAGTCATTATTTTGCTTTATGACTTCGACTGTTGGTGCTTAATGGCTCTGAAAAATAGCATCAGCAACATCCCTGGAACACGCGAATGCGTCCGGATGGTGTGCGAGGCTTCCTGACGCCAACAGGGGCTGCAGGCAGGGTGGGTAGTTTCTCTGTGCCCGGGTCCGCTCCCAGGGCCCTGAGCCCCGACGGCTCATCATCAGCGGCGAGCCGAGCCCCGCGCTGCCGGCCGTGCGAGCAGCGCGCCGGAAGGCTCGTGGCGCAGAACGCCGGCTGCCAAAGGGCCTCTTCGGCTCTCGGCTGCTCTGCGGGCAGGTGGCCGGCTCCCTGCTCCCACCCCGATGGCCGAGCCCGCCGCGGTCCCCGGGCAGCAGCGCCGTCCCCGCGGGCCGTGTCCCCGCCAGCGAGCGCGGATCGCTGGCGCCGGGACAGGTGGGCCGGGCGCGGCCCCGCCCCCGGGCGCTGATTGGCGCTTTCGAAAGGAGCGGCCGGCGCGGCGCGGGCGGGCGGGGTCGTCCCGTCCCGGTGTGCGGGGCCGGCAGCGCGGCGGGGCTGGTGAGTACAGGCAAGGCACGACACGGGACCGGACCGGACCGGACCGCATAGGATAGCGTGGAAGGTGAGGAGCGCCTGAGCGGCGGCGGGCCCAGCCTGGGGGCCGTGGCAGGGTCCCGCTCGCGTCCGTGCCTCGGGCGCGCAGCTCCGGAACGGCGGCTCTCGGTGAGTCCCACTTGTCTGTAGGGTCAGCGCTGGAAACTCGCTGAGCGTGTCGGGGACCCCGAGCAGCGCGGACAGAGCCCGGTGTTGGGCTGAGCCAAGTCACCCGTCCAGGGGCAGCAGCTCCCATCCAGCGTCTCCGGCATAGGTGCCGGAAGGGAAAGCGCCGCGAAACTTACCTTGGAGAAGAGAGAGGGGACAGTTTTTGCATAACAGCCTTCAAACCAGTCTCTCCTGTGCCCCATACAGGCGTTTGAGGATGCAGTGCTGTTTCTGTAGGAAGTTTGCCCCAGTGCTCTTGGCTAGAACACTCATTCATATTGCTTAATAAGCCGAAAAGCGTCTGGCTCCTCTCTTTGCCCAAAAGCTGGCTATGTTCCAGGGATGCTGTGTGTCACCTTTGGCATAGTATCAGATCAAGCCATGGCAAAAAGTACATGTATTCTTTTAGTATCTATAAGGCATAACTGGCCTATGCATTTGAAATTGTACTGGGTGGATCTTTCATAATAAGACAGGATTTTATATTTAAGTCATAATAAACTCCTCCTGTCTGTTGCCAGTCAGCAGCCTACTGTATGGGCATCTAGCAGTGATGCCCTCCAATGCTGCTTTGCTGGCAAAAGTCTGAGGTGGAAATGGGAGAGAGAGAGAAGAGCTTGCCTGTGAAGTCGAGTGAAGAGCTGGGGTAGTGCACCTTGTGTTAATGAACCTCTCCCCAGACTGGATGCTCCTGTGGTAAAGGAGCCGTCTGCATGTCTCCTGTGGAGATGCCAGCTGTTGAGATTAAGTACTCCTCCCTGATTTCAAGTGGTTTTCTCTGCTTTGACAGGTGTATCCAAGGCCTTTGTTGCCATTTGGAAGGAGAGAGTGTGCTCACTGCGTGCTCACTCGCTTCATGGAGAGGTGCGGAAAGGCAGTCCCTGAGGAGAGCAATCAGCGTGCATGAATGTAAGGAGCTGGTTGCCACCTTAAAGCCCATCACCTTGGACTGACTAGTCTGGTTCTTTCTCTTTCATGGCTCTAAGGCCTCCCCAGGGAAGCAGAGCTCCTGCTGACTCAGTAGTGCAACAAAAAGTCTCTGTAATTGCTGTAGTGAGGAGGGAGTAATGCTCCACTCAATGAATCTCTTGTGCCTACCTCTTTTCTTCTGCATGTAAGGATACGTGTACCAAATAAAATCTTGACTATCCTGTAGTAGGTTTCAACAGATACTGAAATGACAGCTTCTTTCATTTCAATGTGTTTAAAAACATGGGTTTCAGTAGGTACTGTTAAGACTAATCTACAGTTTCCAGCTGCTCTGGGTTAGTCTGTTGTGGCTGCCTTTGGGTGTTGATGGAATAGAAGATGATGTGTTATATATATTAAATATAGGGCGAAGATGTAAAAGTGTTTCTACCCAATTTTTTTTTTAATGAGCCTGTTAACCCAAGGCATTTTAATGAGCCTGTGAATCCCTTTAGGTTCCACTTCAGCTAGGTCAATGGCTGCTTCATCAATGTTGGAGCTACCTATGGAGTTGAGGATTTTTTTGTTTCTTTCTTTGTTTCTTTCTTTCTTTGTAAACTGTGCAGTCAAGTAAAATGGGACTTGGACTCTGTTCATCTTGTGCTACAGAATGGGTTGTAATTAGTGTAGCATGTCTTCTTGGGTTGGGCACCAGTGAATGATCTGTAAATCCTGATACAACTGATGTTAAACAGGCTATCTCATGTAGCATCTAAGAGCATGTGTTTAGCACCCTGAAGTATTTGCATAAAGTGCTTTAGCATTTGCTGACTTTGCTGTTTCTCAGATTCCCTGAGGGCAAAGTGCCAGGCATCTTTTTGGAGAGCAGAGACAGACTGTGGTCTTGCAAGGCTGTGTGGGTCATGTCCGGGGGGTGTCTGCACCCCTTTTCCTGAGAAATGCTTGTCCCTCTGCCCCACATGTCAATAGATGGGAATGTTTTTCTCATCTCTCTTAGCTAATACTGATCCATAGCTCTAGTCCTTCATTGGAGGTTTGTTAGTCTGCCAGCTGAAGGCAGTGCTTGCCTTTCCCAATGTATCATTTGGGGCTGACCACTCATCTCACAGTAAATCAGTGTCGCTGTGTTCATACAGGTGTAAGGTGTGGCTCGGTGACACTTCTCTTATCCTTCCATCCTAGAGCCATTAGCAACAGAAGTAGAGAGCTTTCTGGTGTTTCCCCTGTTTTAGCGGGTGAAGCAGGGAGGGAAAACATCACCAGAAAGAGTGTTTTCTGCCCAGAAAGAGTAAGAGGAAGGGAAAGAATTATTAAAAGCATTGTTTCTGCTGTGATGAGCTTATACAGTCTTTTGTCCCAAGAGACCTTGGGGATATCAGCTGGCATGGGAATGGCATTGCCTGAAGCTATGTGGGGGACATATTACAGTGTATTTTCATTCTGAGGTCTTTTCTTACACAAACTGTGATCCCTGAACACCAAATTCCTGTTGAATGAAGGCCAGCTGATAAAACTGGCATGTGTAGAAATTGATACAGTTCTAGCTGGAACTGCCAGATTTCAGTGTCAAATACTTACTTCATTATGTACACCTTTTTGATGCAGGGAACCCAACCGGTTTTAGAAGAAGTCAGACTTGGTTATGACTCTGCCTGGTACTGCAGCATTCACCTCACCAGAACACCTTCTGCACCTTTGCAGGCTGACTACTTGAAGGTGGCAGACGTCTGGGTCTTCTCATCCTATGCCTCTCCCAGTAAGTGGTAAGCCTATATTAATCTGTATTCTCTGCAATCTCAGAGCTGAACTGTTTGAGATCTGAAAATGGGTAATTGTTACTATATTACCTTTTCAACTCAAAATTCGTGCAGAGTAGTCTTTATCATCAGAGGGTTTTTTTGTTAAGTGTTATTCAGATGCCCTGATAATAAGTGAAGCTGTTTCACTTTCTAGGGAACCCTTTGGCATATGGGTTTACAAAATAACTTGTTTTAGAAGAACAGGCCCTTGAAGTTCAAGTGCCACAGTTTTCCTCAATCTCCTCTTTTTTCCTTCCTTTTTTTTTTTTTTGTAAGACTAGCTTTTGTTAGGCATGCCACAAAACTGCAGATGCTGAGAATTCTTGTGATAGCTGCTGTGTGAATATTTTGCTTTGTTCTTGTTTTGAGTTCTCCCTGTGAATTAGGCTGCCTTTTGTTTTCCCTTGGCAGTTAATATGCTGGAGCTCTTGTTAGCCTATATGAAGCTCCTTATTTTAATGAGACCAACATCTCTACTGGCTGGTCTGCTGTTGTTTTATTTATTTTTTTAATCAATGAAGCCTCTTACTGAGCTTCTCTTGGGACAATAGCTTTCTTATGCCAAAGGAAAATGTATTCCTGTGGACAAAGCTCTGGGAAACATAACATGCTCATTAGTAATGCTTGGTACATACCCTGCCCTTCCCTTGTTCATTCATAGAAGGAAAAATGACATCAAGGAGAGGATGTCTTTTTTTTTTTTTTTTTTTCTTTCCCTAGAAATAAAAGGAAGGGGAAAGATACCAATTGGAGTGTCTCTGATAAAGTCTGAGAAGTGCTAGCAGTTGTGCTACAGGGAGGTGGTTTCAGCCTGAAAACGAACTGGTTGCTTGTTTGCTAGTCACAGAGGTAAGTTTGAAATGTTTGAAATGGCTGACATGTGATCTGATGTAGTGTGTGGGGAGGAAAAAAGGGGAAGGAAATGACATTGTTCTGCTTTTTGTGTAGGATGAAGGGGGAGAATTTTTACAAGAATTGTGTTTTCTGTGATGGGCTATTCAAGCCTTTTGTCATAGGAAGGCCAGGTTTTGCAAGACAAGAGAACAATACCATCTACATACAAAACTTAAACATCTGGGACAGGAGAGGAAAGTTACTTATTTTCAAAGGAAAACAGATGAGTTAAAAACATCTGATAATGTCTTCAGTCTGATTTTCACTTTAATCAGTAAGATGCTTTATTGCAGCTATTGAGTAACAGAGCAAGAAAGTTGTCTTTTAACTGGCTGCAAGACACAGCAGGTGTTTTTGATGTTGTAATGCCCCCCAGTACCACTGTGGAGAATTATGATGGAGAAATACCTTCTAGTACATGTGTATCTAGCAAACCTGGCAATGCTGCACATCTCTAGACCTGGAGCCTCCATGGAGAAACTTACTAATCCTCAGCCAGTGTAGAGCTTGTGCTGGATTTTCCCATAGTTAAAAGCATTTCTGGAAAATACTCTGTTGGCTTCAGGAGAGAAAGTGTTGACTAGGTTGCCTCTAAAAGTTTCCTTAAGGTTTGTTTTGCCAGGGAATTGTCCTGATAACTATATTGCTGCAATAGTTTGCAGCTGTCTGTTGAAACCTTAGGTGTATGCATGCTGCCTGGGAAGTCACAATCCCAATAGAATTTACTAAAAACATTGATTTCTCTCATGTATCCGTATAACAACTAGGTGATCTTTAAGGTCCCTTTCAACCCCCACCGTTCTATGATTCTGTAAGAAAAAGTCTTATTCTTCAAAATTGTTTCCTTGCTTTAAGATTTTCATAATCTTCAGAGTATTTAATGTGAAGTCAGGATGCATATATCTGCCTACACACAAGTAAAAGATATACATGTGATAACTCAGAAGAAAAAGATGAATGCCAGTGTTGTTAAATCCAAGAATGGTTTGAAGCGTTTGTATTACACTTTGGCAGAATAAATGCCATACAGCTACTTTGGAGTAGTGTTAATACATACAAAGGCAGTTGCTACTTTGTGCTGTAATAATTGTGCCTTTATTTCAGGGCAGAGAACTGAAGTTGACTGGATCAAAACCTTAGTCACTAAGATACTTCTCTCTTTCCCCTTCCTTTCCTGATTAGACTTCTTATTTTTCCAAAACAGTACTGGTGAGTTTTTCTTGGGATTTTCATGAAAGCAGGACAAACTGTATTAAAAATCTATTCTCTTTTCCCAGAGGGAGAAACGAATGTAAATGCAGGTGACCATGCAGAATGCAGTTCAGGTAAATGTCTTTTGAAGTGTTTCAATCCTGCATACATGTATAATATATTTTTATTTTTTTCAATGCAAAGATCTACCCTGAGGCAGATGAAATACTAGACTCCCCAGAGTTACCTCTAATTAAAAAAAAAAAGTTATAATTTTCCATTTTATAAGTGGAGTAATGTGACAAAATGAATAACCCACTGTTACTATCAGGTGACCCTTTCACTTCTTAGTGCTGTTACCTAAGAAGGTTTTGAAGTCAGAGGCTGAGATTATTGAAACATCTGTTTGGTGATTAAGAAGTGTTTTTTAAAACTTTATAGTTTTTAAAACCTTATATATTTAAAACATTCTAGTTAATTACTTAAGTATAAATAAATAAATGTATTTTTTACACACACCGAACTGAAGGAAAGTAGTTAAGAGTAGCAGAAGGACTCTGTCTTTGGGAATTTTGTACACAAAATTTCAGTGTGGTCCTTTTCTTGAAATGTAAGTTACCTGTCATTTTGAAAATATGCAGTCCTGAAATGCTAAGGATTCATGTTCAATAAATGTGTTATGTTCTTGTACGTGAACAGATTTCCTCTTTTAATGTCATAATTTTTAATGATTTAAGCATAAAATGCCCCTGAAATGTTTGATCAGAGAAATCAGTAGTCTGTAGTAAATTATATGATAAACTTCAGATTTTAAGACTTAAAATGTGCTGAGGAAAAAAAATCACCCACACATTTAATGCATGTTTTCTTTATTCAGTATTCAAGAAAGTGTGTAATTTTAAATCCGAAGAATTCAAGAGAACGAACGCAGTAGTATTTTGACGCAGGAGTTACTAATGATAGCTTCACCATCTGATTGGTGTTGTGTTGGTTTGGTGTACCTGTCCGAAGGGAAATGAACGCTTTGAATAATAGTTCTTCAGCGTAATTCAGAACCATGACTCTTTGTCATCTGACTGCAAGTATTAGAGCTTTCTGTCTTCAGCTTACTGAAATCCTCTGCAGGTGTGGTTTGGAGATGACCCTCCCTTAACTCCCCGAAGTCCTCTGACTCCCAGACACGGGCCGGGTTTGGCAGATGTGTGCCTGTATGACCAGTGGATATCTGTGCGGCATGAAGCAACTTTGGTGCCTATGCAAGAAGATCTGTCCATTTGGCTGTCTGGCTTGCTGGGTGAGGTTAAAAATAAATCACTGTCTAATGAACTTCAAAGAACTTTCCAATATTCTAGTCAATGGTGACATTTAATATCTATACTACTATTAAGATGTGGCATATTTGAGTCTGAATGGCTGGGAGAATTGCATTAAAATGCATGCTTTGATTTCAGATTTTATTAGCTGCCACCTCTTAGAGGGAGGATAATTAATAATTCTAATTTATATTTCTGAATTTTGTTAGTCTAATTAAAATGTAATTAAATGAATATTTGATTTTAGTTTACTTATATATTTCCACTAATTTTCAGTCTTTAACACTGGAACGCTGTTTGAGTTGCCTCTAAGTTCATATGAAACTTCTTCACCTTCTGTAGAGTAACTCTAATACTGACCTTCTTTTTTGTTGTTTTTTTTTTAAGGAATGGAAGTCAAAGCAGAACAACTGCTAGAAGAACTTGATAATGGGGTATTACTCTGCCAGTTGGTTGGTGTTCTTCAAAACACAATTAAAAAATGTTGTAGCTCAAATAACTTAAGGGTGAGTCATATCATGACTTTTAAAATACATATATAAACTCTCCAGTTGTAGGTAGTTAAGTAAGTAGTTGTCATTAAAAGGAAAGCAGATGAGTGAGGCTTCCCAAAGTAATGCTCTGTACCCTCTGTATCCAGGGACTGATTAACAATAGTGTGTTTTTGTAGATGGATAAACTGGCCTCGTGCAACAAATTACCTTCTTGCTTTGTTAATCAAATCCTAAGGTCCTTGGTTGGTCTTTAGTTTGATTTCAGTAGAAGTCTTGCCCGAGGAAGATTTAGTCCAGTTCTGGAGTTTGTTTTCTGACATCAGTGTGGGCTGATAATGAGATATATGTTGGCACTTGGTAGTATGTTTTATGGCTGTACTCTAGTGTACAGATCAGCCATAAAAATATCCAAACTGATATACCTGAAGATGGGCTTCAGTGTTTTGGTTGGGAATCAATGCTCAGTTGAAATGTGAATCTCAAGCAACTCTCTGTATTTGAAGTACAGAGTCATGTAAACTGGTCAAGATAACATTTGTTGAATGTACAAGTACCCTGTATAGCTACAGCAATGCTTGTTAAACAGTAGATTACCAGCTAAATTGCCCTGGAGGACAGGAGGAACTGTTTCACTATATCCAGACCATTTTTTTAATGTTTAACTTTTACTGGTTTACCTAGTAAAACAATAGTTTTAAATAATGGATATTTACCAGTTAGCAGTATAATTACTAAGATTAGAATTATTATTAACTGTGGGGCAGCAGATTTAAGATGCCAAACAGTATTTATACAAGAGCTATAAGGAACCCTCGAATTACGGCATCTTTTAGGTTGGAAAAGACCTTTAAGATCAGCAAGTCCAACTGCTAACCTAACACTGCCAAGTCCACTGTGAAACCTAAGTCCCTAAGTGCCACATCTCTTAAATACCTCCAGGGTCGGTGACTCAACCACTTCCCTGGGCAGCCTGTCCCAGTGCTTCCTTACTCTGTCTACAAGAAATATGCAAGTTATCCACAATGTTAGTGATTCCCGTGGTTCTGTTGCTAAACACAACAATGCATTTCCACACTTGTATGGATTTCACTGTGTAAGCCATTGTCCATCAGATACCCAGCAAATCCTTAGGGCTCTTTAAGGAAGATGAAACGTACAACTTGTGTATCTTTGAACTACGTTTTTAGTTTTGAAGGTACCAATTTAAAAACGAGTAAGTACTGAAGTGCTTTAAAGGAAACTGCTCCTTGCTCCCTTATGATTCCTTTCACTTTCTAGAACAGGCTCTAAAATGTTGAAATCTGTCAGCTAAGTATAGTTAGTTGATTTAACGTTCTCTTGTTGTGCTTATTCTGCTGCTGTGAACTTAAGCTTGGGAAAGGGGAATAATTATCCAGGCCTGTGAAACCACCAGTAGGACTTCTACCCCAGCATGTGGGGAAATGGGGAAACAACTGTATGGACAGCTTTGGGAGAGGCTGCAGAGCTAAGGATTTTTCACTCAGTGACTGTTCACAGTGATAAGATAGAATGCCTTCTATATTAGTGTAGCTTTTTTGGTAGAGTACATGGTGGGTTGAACACAAAATAGTTACAACTGTTTCTGTACTCTGAATTTAGGGTGTATTTTCCTTTGCAACTATGCTTTGAAGTCTGTTGGCAATGTTGATGTGCACAATGTACTTTTTGTTTTCTTCCCTTACCAGAATTTTCCTATGAGAAAAGTTCCATGTAAGAAGGATGCTCCATCAGGATCTTTTTTTGCCAGAGATAATACAGCCAACTTTCTTAACTGGTGTAGGGCCATTGGAGTTGAGGAGACTTATCTATTTGAATCTGAAGGTTTAGGTAAATCTATCTTTTTGTAAGATTTACTTCCCTCTGTATGTGGATAACTACCTGGTTGGGGAGATCCCTTGTGTATAGTCTTTTGAACCTTTTCTCTTGACCGTTCCTGTCTCGTGCAAGCTACTAATGCTTTTTTTTTAATTTTAAGGCAGTGTCCAAGTAAAAGACTTGAAAAATCAATTCAGTGACTGCTCTAACTTGCATGATGCTTTTCCAAACTTGCTGTGTGGGGTGAAGCGGGGGCTGACAGCTGTGCAACAAACTTGCATGTTGTCCTTCAGTAAAAAGAAGCACTGAGAAACAGAGGAGAAAATTGTGGTTTTGCTTTCCCTGTGTGGGAAGACCACAGGGCCATGGAGTCAACTCACAATGAGATCCTTTATTTGGTATTAGAGCTCATTCTTGTTGAAGGAATCCCTCAGAATCATGCATTCATAACAGATAAATTTGATAACTACATTAGGGAGTTGTGCCTGAAGTGGCAACAGTCTGTTAGCAATTAACATTTGCTTCAGCACCTACTTGATATGCCCCTAAACCATTTGTGTTTTCTCATCCAATAAGATTGTTATAAAACTAAATATTGCCAACTATGTGTTGTGTGTTGTGTGCCTGCCCCAGTGCACAGTTGGTCCCTTATAACAAACAGCTTCTAGACTGATACTTACAGATGAAATAATTTTTTTTTAACTGCTAATTAAGAGGAACTATACTTCTATCACATGGTAAATAAAGAAATGCTCTTCTACCAGCTATTATGTCAGTAAAAATTAATTAATCCAAAACTTTCTGTGGCAAGCCAATACTTGTTTGTTTGTTTGTTTTTGTTAATTTTTTTAAAATAAGCAAAATATCTGCCTGTCAGCAGAATAGTAAAAAAAATTGAAAAGTACCTTTGTTTTCAGTAATCAAATGAATTTGTCACAATATTCACAGGATTTTCTCAAAGTCTTTGTGCCATTTAATGCCATTTGCATGCTCGTTGGACTGCCAGTGCCTTCTCCACTGGATAAGTCATCTTTTAAAATAGTTGAGAAAACACCATCATTTGCATCTGTCTCATTCTGATTAACTAGTCTGGTGAGTGTATCTTTTTTCAGTGCCATGAAAAACAGATGAGTAGAACTGAGCTGTAAGGAAATTAGTTTTAATAATTTTTTTTAGTTCCTTGTATGAACTGTATTGCTTAAACATCTTAGGTTCTGTAAGTGGATGGGTAACTGGAGCCTGTTTAGCCTTCCTGAGATAAGCAGACAGGATTTCCTGGTGCTGTGGCTTTCACTCACAGCAAATAAGTGTTTTGAAGTCTGATTGTGACTCCTGACACAGGCTTGCTTTATGGCATAAATATCTTCTGTGAGCCTTTTTGGCAGTTGAAATGAGCAGACTTGCAGCCTCCTTGATGAAACATTCTTTCCACTGATGTTTTCCATCAGACCTTCAAGCCATTCTTTATAAATGAAATAGGGGAAGGGTAATTTAACAGTTGTCTTTTTCCCGTCAGATACATATGGCAACACCTCCTGAAAGTGTAGATGACTATGAAGGAAATAAATTAAGAGGGTCTTGAGACAGCAGAAAGGAAGAGTAGACATCAAGCCAAAATAAGTATCTTGATTTCTGCTAGGGGTATATTTGGATTTTTCTCTTTTGGGTTCAGGCAAATTAAAACACTTCTAGCAAACACACACACTCAGAGAAAAGATATTAGATGACCTCTAGTAACTTTTAAATTATGGCTGTGTCAACTTTCTATTCTAGATTTATCCTTCATAATCAGACCTTTTAAAAAGCAGACTTACAAACTGGAGTAGATAATGTAAACAAGGGAATCTGACTTCATACTCAGCTTATACTTTAGGAAACACTTCAGTGTTATTTAAATCAAAGCAATAAATATCAAATTGAACATCAGAAAGATGTCAGATTTCATCTGTAAATATAGAGCAGGCTCAGGTTTCTCTTCAGAGGGAATTTCCAGTTTCTACTGAGTATTGTTAGTACATGGTGTGAAGAAAGTCAGACTTGTTCATATAAATGTTCTACAACTTCTCTGGTTTCTTATACTTGATGGTAGTGGGGGAAGGAATGGTGCTGTGTGTGGGTTGAGGCAAGTTGAATGACCTTTCTCCCAGTCTTTGATTTTTGAGTTTTTAGGCAATATTCCAACTTAGTTAAGAAAGCACAGGGATCATCTGTTTTCTAAAGCATTTATACAACTGTTCTTAGAACATATTGAAAGAATCTCAATTTTGAGGCTTGTATGGGGACAGAGGAGGAAATAGTTGCTTGTGCGTGAGGTTTTAAACTATTTTCTTCCTCTGTTCTTGGCCTTGTTTCTTTTTGCTTTTTCTTGCACACCTAAAGATGGAACTTTCAAGAAACCAAAACAGACATTGTTTTCCTTCTGCCTCTTCCATTCTTCAGTGTGACAGTAGAAATAATTGAATGTTTCCATTTCAAAGTTCTTAAGAAAAGCCAGACTCGCCACCGTCATATTCACATTGCTTAGCTATCACTCTTGCATCTCATTCTTCAGCTCTCCTGATAATCATTTAGTGTGCCTACAAGATCAAGTGCACGTAGCTGCTAGAGCTGCTCTGAATTGAGGGGTGTGAAGCAGCCTCTGATTTGGGCACTAGCTGAGTTACTATGGACAAGTCTTTGAGAAGCAAAGCCTCGTGCAAAACTGTGCTACTAACATATCTGAAAGTGTGTTGCTGCTTCTCTGTGATCACAGCTAGTATCTCATGTTTGAATCTGAGCATTTGTATTTTAAACCAGCATTGTTCTCCCCTCCTTCTTATGCTCAGGGGTTTTGCCCACCCTTTTCAGATACAGCCTCACAAAGATACCAAATTCTGAAGAAAACCTCTTGGTGGATGGGGCAGGAGGTTTGGGCTGCTTGGGAGGGGGTAAAATGATGAGGGTATAGAATGAGGTACGGGAGCTGCCACTGACAAAGTGGTATCTTCTGGTGGAACTGGATGAATCTGCCATATGGATGGACACTGTTGGCACCTGGAACATTTGAAATGATAAGAAAAAAGATCTGTTGCTAACTGAAATGGTAACAGTCACCCAGATTGTTCTTTCACAGCCAAGGGACTAAACCGCTTAGGCTGACTGGCTATGTAGCCAACCACTTGGTCCTTCACAGTGTATCCTCCTATGGATGTTAACCTATAGAGTGCCTGTGCCTATCTGTCTGTATGCATGAGCATATTTTCCTATTTGCAGTTGTCAAATGCTTTTCATCTTTAAGACTACGATAATGTATTTGGGGGTAGGGAAAGCTCTCAGATCTCTTTCTTTCCTGTTCTCATCAAGAAAGAAGATCATAAAACCAAATAAAACATAATTCTCCTAGAAGGAGGAGTTTGATTTCAGGAATGCCAAGATGCAAAAGACTTTATGAAATAGAAAATTAGAGTTGGAAAGCATATAATGCTTTGTCAATGATAATGTAACTTGCCCCTGGGTAAAATGGGAAATTTGTAGGCATCTATACCTCATCTTCTCTTCTCTGTACCTAATTGCATAGGCCTTGCTGCAATAAATATGAACTGTAACTCCTCTTCGTTCTCTTCCCTTTTAGTTTTGCACAAGGATCCAAGACAAGTGTATCTTTGTCTGTTGGAAATTGGACGCATTGTATCCAAGTACGTGATCTGCACATAATCCTAACAAGAAATTGAAGAATACATCCTATTAAGTAAAAGCTAAGACAAAGTTAAGACAATCTGTGGTCATTTAGTGCAATGCAGTGGATATTAATTCCTCACAAAAAGTAATGAGTGGCTTTTCTAGGACCATCATATAATATGAATATTTTTTCAAATAATTATCAGACCTTTTCAGGGAGAGGCACTGTTCCATGCTGCCTTTTATAGTTGAGTGTTTAAGTTATACATTCAGCTTATAGATATGTATACCTCTTGGAAGAACTCACTGAACATTAAAGGTTATTTTAACGGGTATAATTTTTCATCTTTTTGGCAGGTATCTCTTTGTTCTCTACATTTAGACTTTTGATTTATTTCTAGTGCAGAGCTGGAAACTTTAAGATAGTTTATCTAAATTGGTTGTGACCTAAATGATGTAATTTTGACAGTATTTTTACTTCATTCTCTGGTAACACCAAGGCCACCTTAGGGAAGACTTCTGCTAAAAACTCAGAGCTGCTCCTTCTCTTTGGATTATCAAGACAGTTATCCCTCTGACTGATTTAGTGCTGTGCCATGTCAGCCAAATCACTTAGAATTTTGCAAATTTGTTAATATCAGTTTCTTTCCGTTTTCTTTAGTAAATTAGCAATAAAACTCTCTACTTTGGTATTTGAGGTATGGAGTTGAACCTCCTGTACTTGTAAAACTAGAGAAGGAAATTGAGCTAGAAGAAACCCTACTGATGACCTCTGGGCCACCATCACCTGTTAGCACAGCAAAGTCATGTTGTCACCATGGGGAGCTACATGAGGCAGTAAGTACTTCTTACTTAGTGTGATATGGGCTTTAAATCAAGCTCTTAAGTTTCATACTTGTATGATCTGGCTCAGTAAGCATTGGCTGGTTTTCATCTAATATGTTAGCCTCTTTAAACAGAAAACAGAAGTGTATGCACCTCTTTTTATAATTTTTTTTTGTTTGTTTTTGTTTTGTAAAGAAAATGCTGTTCTATATGTTTTGGAGTAAATGCCTTGGTGCATATAACCCACCTTGAGTTCCTTTCCCCTGCTCCCTTTTCTTTGCTTCTTTGAGTATAAGAAATAATCTCATTCAATTTTTCTGGTGTGTCAATATCCTATGACTGCAACGAATGCTTCTCTTCAATTTGATGTTTTCCTAAAACTTTATCAAATGTTAAAACAGGCTTTGATGAAACTCACAACAGCTTGTGAATTGGTCCAAAAGAAATTACGAGTAATTTTCCTATTTGCTTAAAAATGCATGTTAAGTCTTTAAAATTCATTTGTTTTAAAGGTCCTCTTTGTAGTAATGTAAAAATTCTGTTTCTTTGGGAACGTCAGCCACCAAGTCCTTGCTCTCTCTCAAAACTCTCACTGTTTTTTCTTCTTGGCAATAGTCTTGACCTTCCAATTTATTACATTTCTAAATGGCTCTAAGAGACACATCTTCTCTAACCTGGCACATATTTGGGGACTACCTTTCTCCTTTTTTCAGTGGTTTCCTTCTTGGTTGTGTCACAGAAGATTAACTTAGCCTAACAGAAATTTGGGGAGAATGGTGAAGTAGCTCTGAGCCAGGTGTAGCAATGGATTTGGTCACAAGAGAGACCCAGGCATTCGTTTCAATTTCTAGAGACCATAAGAGTGTCTTTACAAGGTCACGGTTAGAAATGAGGCTACTATGCATAGAAGTATAGACTTGTCTTAATACCAGAAGTGGAAATAACAGAAAATTGAAGAAATCATAAAAATTGGATTAGATCAACTCAAAATATTTGTCTGTACATACAATTTGTTCTTTCTTTTAATTTTTTATTCTACACTTTGTATCTTTATGTAGCTGAGATTTTCTTGTGAAGGAATAGAATTCAAGTATTTTCTTATATTATGGGCTGAAGATATTGGTGTCTTTTCTTGTATTCAACACATGCTTCTTTCAAAATATTAACAAATACTTTCAATTTTAATAACTAGGTAAAACATATAGCAGAAGATCCTCCCTGCAGTTGTTCCCATCGGTTTTCAATTGAATACTTATCAGAGGGACGTTATAGACTGGGAGATAAAATACTCTTCATAAGAGTAAGTTGTTTTTCAGAACTCCAACTTATGTTTCTACTGGGGAGAGAAATGCTTTTAAGTGGAATACCTCATTTTTATGGTGTTGTTTTAGAATCACAGAATTATTTGGGTTGGAACAACTTGCCATTCAATCACCTATTCAAAGTAGGTGTAGTTACTTTGATATTACAACTATTCATTTTACAATCACATTAAAAAAAGTTAATGCTTTTCTGTGGTGGTTTTAAAATTTCAACAATTATTTGCAATATAAATAAGGAAATGTCATGGAATATCCTGAGAATGTTGGCTGTTCAAAACCTCAACTCTTGGAGTTTATAATTTTCAGGATAATTGAGTACTCTCTTCAGCAGTCTTAAGAGATTGTGTTACAGGGGCATCTATAATTTGAACAAAACCTGTATCCAAAACTCTAAATACTAAATGAAGATGCTTACAGAATGGTTAAAATGTCTTCTGTAAAGATGCTTCCATTATTTGCAGATGTGTAATGCCTGTCTCTACAGGAGAAACTATCTAATAAAATAATTGGGAAGCATAAACCTTGTTTATCGCATAATTTCTCTGTTTTAAAAGGTTTCTCTATAAGAAAGGAGGTGCTATTTTTAGTTAATTTCAATAGATGGTAATGTAAGCTGAAGACCTATTGCTGCATAAAACAAGATAGAAATTTCTCTTGTCCTTCTGTTTCCAACCCCTCTTCCTCCATTCTTAGATGCTACATGGCAAGCATGTGATGGTACGTGTTGGTGGAGGCTGGGACACTCTTCAAGGTTTTCTACTCAAATATGATCCATGCCGAGTGCTTCAGTTTGCAACTCTGGAACAAAAAATCCTTGCGTTTCAGAAAGGGGTCACCAGTGACAGTATCCCTAACTCATCAGCTAGGAATCAGGAGCCTCCTGTTATGAATCCAATGTCAGCTGTCAATATGTTTCAAAAGCAGCCATCAAAAGTCACTACTCCTGTTTTAGCTGTTGGGGCTGGTGCCAAGAAGGCTTTATCTAAACATCCTCAGTCCCCTGCTCTGGCATCACCAAGAGTGCCAGTGCCCCCATCTTCCACAGCCAAGTCATCAACAGTCAGGTCCAAATTACAAGGGTCTTCAGCAACAGGTGTACAGTCTCCTTTCAAAACATTAGCTGGTATCTCAAAGAAACTGGAGTCTCCTGCATGCAGCTCACCAGCTTCTGCTTCTTCACGGCCTGTAAGCAAAAGTTCTTCATGTGCAGGAACAAGAACAGCTGTAGTTCCCTCCGAAACAGTGCGCAAACGTATTTGGTCCCCCGATGCTCCCAAGGTGAAATTTGCCCCGCCTCAGGGCTCCACAGCACCAGCACTCCATCCTACCCTCTCATCCTCTAAAAAACAGCCGTCTCATTTGTCTGAGACAGCTGAAATGATGGCTTCAAAACAGAAGCGTGTCCCTGCTAAATGCAAACCTGTATCTATCACTAAAACCAAAGCGAATTCAGTCGCTCCAAGGGCTGCTCGGCCGCCTGTGACAAATCTGCGTGCTGTTGCCAAGTTTGCGCATTCTCAGGAGCAACTTGCAAAACCTCCTTCTGAAAATGCTATTCAGATCTCGGGAACTGCGTCTCAGAATCCTCAGAAAGCCCTACGAACAACTTCTGACCTGGCAAGGAATTTGAAAAGTGCATCGGTCCTCTCCGCTTCTGCACCTTCCCTTGCAGTTAGCAAAGCATCAAAGTCACCACCTTCACTGATACCTACAAGCAAACACGCATCATCAGCTGTCAGTAAGCAGCCGAATATCAGTAATCCCAGTCTGGTTGGGCCCTCTTTATCCAAACCTCCTGAACGTACCCCCTTATCTGTTGTACGACTTCCTCAAACTTCTGCCAAAGTGGCAATGACCAAAAAGTCGGCACAGCCTTCCACAAAAGGTCAGCCTTCAGCCAAAAACTTGCAAACAAACAAAAGCCTGGCCCCAGCAGCCAAGAAGCCTCTCCCGAAGGAACAGTCATGTAACAAAGGAACACCTGGTGTGTCAAAAGTTCCTCTTGTGAAGAGCAGGCAAGATGATCACTATTTTGTTATGACAGGGAGTAAAAAGCCCAGAAAGTAAACTTATTTTCTTCAAAATAAGTTTATGAAACACTGAGGACAAGAAAAAAATGTTAAATAACACTACATTTAACATGAAATATTAGGTGTAACCTACATTTTGCTGCATAACTTACTGTAAGAACTGTGTTTATTTTGCGATTAGAAACTTCTATTTGGATATATTTAGAAGTGAGCTTGCTTGCTGTTTAGCACTGTGGAATAGAAAATATTCCTGACCTGCTGTAAGAAAGGTGGGTGTGCTGGTTTAAAAGTAAACTGGAGGTAGAAGTGAATGCAACTCAACAGAGATCACAAGTCAGAGTTACAATTTCCTAAAAAGAGATTACAATAAATGAAATGATACAGAGAAAACTGTTTTTCACCCCCCACAAACAGATATATAACCCTGGAACAAGAACAGAACAGTGTTTAGTGGCCCCTGTGCTGATCACTACGTGGCCCCCCCTGACTGTAAAGTAAAAGGAAAAGAAAACCTGTTAGGTCAGATGATGGTGGCAGTTCTGTTGAAGTAATGAGCACAGTCTTGTCGAGAGTGGCAATGGCAGTCCTGTTGGAGTTCTGGTCCTCTGGATATGATGAGTGGTACCAGAAGTTCCAAACCCCAAAGCTTATATATGCTCAAGTTCAGATGGTAAATGCACAGTTCCTCCTCCAGGGCGGAGAGTTTCACAGTGGGTGATTTAACTCTGTGAGTCATGGGATATTTCTGGAGTCTTTGATTTTTGAAGTCTAAGTGTTGCAGCTGCCTATTATGCCAGTCCAGTATGGCCCATTAGCAGAGGTGACTCCTCAGGCTGGGTGTGAAGGCGTTAATGCCTTTCCGAAGGGGAGTTATCACAGCTGAGTCACTGGTGTGAAAACAAAAGAACACTTCACAGCCTCTCAGGGTTTATTTAACACCCAGCTCGTAGCCTTAGGTGCCAGGTGTGCCCTGGGCAGCTGCTGCAAAGGGTCCATTATTAACAGTCCATCACAAATGACATAGAGTGTGTAGAAGACACAGTTTTGGTTATACCCACATGGTGATAAACTGGTCCCAGCCCCTGTACCTAGGACAGTGGGAGAGAGGAAAGGGGAGCTAAGGCTGCTGCTCATTTTCAGTGGAGCGAAGTCTGCCCAAGAAACATCTACCCAGGGCAGAGCCTGAGTGACTCTGGTGGTTCTGGCATGTCTGCATCAAGGCCCATGGCAAGCAGTAGAGCTGTGCTCTACTGTAACATTTCTAATACCTCAAACAAAACAACGGTTTTTAGTTCACTGGTGTCCCACAATCCAAATTTGGGTCACTTGCCTGTATTAGAAAGAAAGGAATCTTTATTCATGTTTAAATTTTACAGACGATGTTATCGGTGTTTACTGTGCCCCCCATATGCCTTCTTCAGCTCTCTTGGAAGTGGAGCTTTCTTGGTCTATGTTAAATTGGACATGGAAAATCGTGACCTTGATTGCTTGCTCTCATTGTGCCTTAGTCTCTCAAATTCATAAAAGATCTCTTCAGTGAGCAATACTACCTTTAAAACCCAGGGGAGACAAGTTTGCTTAGTCCATGCTCTAATCTGACTATAAGTGAGCCCAGGCTTTCCTAGAAAGCTCTTGCTGCGTTAAGATATGCTCCTGAGTTCCTGGGAGGACATTTTCCCCTGGGCTGGAGCCCTACACCAGCTGCTGCTCTCACGTTGCAGCCCCAAAGCAGCTCCAGCTGCAGCAACACTGAGCTGCAAGTACTGACCTGTGCTGGCAGTCTTACTGCTCTGCAGGAATGGCCTTTGCATGTAAGGCTGAATCATTAAATACTTTTCTCAGTGCTACAGGTTCATTTCTGTAGGCACTCCTAGTCTGTGGTGGCCTTTTTTGTTTTATTTATGGAGACCTTACTGACTCTTCTCTATTACTTTCTGGAGGTGAGGGGTAATGCCTGTAAACCTCTTAAAATGCCAGAAAGCTGTGCATTGTTTACACTCTCAACTCTGAAGGCTTTCAGTGTGTTAAATGTCTTACCTTTAACAGAAAGAGCTTCATGGTAGATTAAAAACTACTGTCTTTGGGAGTAGCACTGTTTGGGTTTTTTTGGGTTTAATGAACAGTCATTCCTGCAAACGCTGAGAAGCAGTGAAGGTCTGTGAAGAGACACTGCTGACTTCCACAGATCATCACTTCTCTCCATTCCCAGTCTATTTATGGGCAGGAACAGGTGTGACTGCCAGATTGGCTCCTGGATGGTCAGACAAGAAAGTTTCCTAAAAAGGACAACAGTTTCTGCTGTTATGAGGTTTTATTGGTTTTGTTTGTTGGTTTTTTTTTCCCTGGAACTACAGTAAGCAAGCATCATGAACTGTGTTCTCATGCGTGGCAAAGTCATTGAGCTGTCTTTCTGAGCACCTTGTTAGCTTTTTTTACTTTATTTATGATTCTATTTATGCATATCTACTGTACCATACTGCTTACAACCTGCTGGGAGTAAACAGTAAAAACCAATATGCAAATTGTAGGAGGAAAACAGATCACTTTTGATAATGTGGACACAAGTCCCACAAGCTCACATACAAAGCTGTATGTTTGGGAAGGCCTTAGGCTTACTTATTTTATAAGTACACTGGTCAAAGCCACTACTACGAATGTCAAGAAAAGTATTGACTGTAGTGGATTGCTGTCAGGTTTGATAAATTTGGCACATGGTTTTATATGCTGAAAGCATTTTACAATAGATGACTTGCTTTTGATTTTTGGACATCCAAATAGTGAGTTACATACGATATATCTCATGCAGATTAATAGCTGAATTTTTGGGGTTTCTTTCTGAGTCTGGCTGAGATGGAGTTAACTTTCTTCATAGCATCCTATATGGTGCTGTGTTTTAGATTTGTGGCTAAACCGGTGTTGATAACACACCAGTGTTGCTGAACAGCACTTGCCAGGGTCAAGTCTTTCTTTTTTCTGCTCTGCCCCCCCGTGAGTAGGCTGGGGGTGGGCAAAAGATTGGGAGTGACATGGCTATGACAGCCAACCCAAGCTGGCCAAAGGGCTATTCCATATCATATATCATCACCTCAACAATAAAAACAAGGAAGAGGTGGAGAAAGAAGGAGGAGCAGGGTGGGTGGCTTTCAAGGTGGCTGTTTGCCAACTGGCTTGGCATCAATCTGCATGTGGGAGGTAGTGAGGGATTGCCTTTGCATCACTTGGTGGTTTATTTTTTTTATATCTTTCCTTCACTTGTTAAAGTGTCTTTATCTCAGCAAGTGAGTCTTGCTTTTGCTGCTCTTCTCTCCCTCATCTTGCTGGGGATGAAAGAGAGATAAGGGGAGCAGCAGCTGCCTAGGTGTTTGGCTGCTGGCTGAGGTCAACCCACAATACTTTTTGAACCATTTACAAGGTTTTTAGTAGCAATTTAAACACTGAGACTCTTGGATCTCAGTGTAAAGCAATTTTAACATCTACCTTTTTGAACTACAGAGAAAATGAAGCAGATAGCTTCATTTTGTGATCTATTATTTCATGTAAAAGATTGATTTTTATGGTTCAAAATGACATAAAAAGCATAAGCTTTTACAGTTGAAACCTTTTTCAGCTAATCTAAAGATCATTCCCCTGTTATGCATGGATAGACTTGGTTTGATTTTATTATAAAAATAGTGTATTTGAGCGTGGTCCAACTTCTGTGAATATTGTAGTCTTCACCTGTATAGTCATATTCTAACCATAAGTGTCATGTAACATGAGGCGAACCAAGAATAAGATGTAACGAAGTACCTCCTAATGGAAATACATACTCTTTTTGCAATGTTTATATTGCCAAATAGCAAGTCTAATCTTCAGCTTGTGCTACTTTTTGTGAGGGAAAGATAATTTGGAGCAAGAATCTCCCTGAATTCTTCATGTCATATCAATGTCCTTCTGTATGAGTACTTATTTTGAATAAACATACACTGCACCTTTTTAGGTGCCCACATGTTTTCAGTCCTCATGTCTTTTTGTGGGAAGGGAAAGAGAATGTATTTCAGAAGGCTTATGTTTTCTCTCTACCACCACATAAATAGTATCTCAGGCTGTGATAAAGACATAAATAGCTGCATCAAATCCATTGCTTTGTTTGGAGTTCAAGACTTTTTTATTCTGATCCTGTTTTCAATATGACTAATTGTGTAGAAGGGGCTTTCTATTTATCCCTAGCTGACAGAGAGCCCAAGTATTTTCAGATATACCTCTGAGAGTTTTATTATTTGCAGCTCCACTTGAAATATAAAGCACTTGTGTGCTAATATTTTCCATGCTTACATCTTGTCAGCAAACTTTAGACCCATCTCTGTGTCTGTCGCTATCAATAACAGAAACCTAATTAGTTTTTTTGAGAAGAGAATTGAGTCTTCTCACTGGAGCCACCTAGTGAACTGTTTTTTCCCCTTCCCTATTTGATTTTTTAAAAATCTTTTAATATCTGCATTTCTCTGCCTGTTCCAGTGTCTTCAGTTCCTGCCAGTCCGATCCTGGTGTCTGATCATGTAGATATACTTATGCTTCCACTTCAGCTTTGTCTGGTCACATTCTTGTGGCATCTACCATACTTGTTCCTACAGGACCAAGTTCTGCAGAGATGTTAGTTGCAGCTTTCTTTTAAGACATGATGTTACAGCTGGCCAATAAAATACGAAGACAGTCCAAGACTGTCTCAGGTAAGTGTCCTATCCCTTACCTATATATACTAACCAAAAAAAACCCATACATATATATATCTGATAAAATTCAAGGCAGTTTTCCATGTAAAACTTTGAGCAACTATAGCTTTGAACAGCAAACTCTACAGCTTCTTTTCTATTTCCCACAGGGAAACTGAAATCTCTTTGTTAGATGAGCGAGAGCTATGGGGCCATCTGGTGTCTATGAGTTTTATAGAGGCTACTATGGCAATGTAAACTCTTTAACTTCTCTTGAAGTCCACAGGCAAAACTTTTCTCTTTGATTCCAATGAAACCTTTTAGCTAGCAAAATCCAGACTTGGCAAGCAATAAATACTGCAAGAAATGTTTAATTCTGTAAGACCCTTTCATTTCAGGCAAATACATTCTTGAAAACCTTTTCATTATTCTTTTTTTTTTTTAAGAGCTGAGATTGAAGATCACTTCCTTACTAAAACTTTTAAAAAATGAATTGTGTGAAATGTAAATAAGCTGAACATTTTGTACATTTCAGATATCTTAAGAAAAAAAAAGTTAAAATATTTGAGAGGTAGATCTGCTCACAGTACAGGTCTAGCTAGCCAGTAATCCCCACTAACTCATACACAAACTTGAAGGTGTATCAGCTGGTGGGAATGCAGAAGCAGATGACTTTCTAGTTGGGGAGGAGTACTGATGTCTAAATCAAAGCTATTACAGCACTTTATGTGAAGTATTATGTTCCAGATGGAAGAGAAAACTTACAGGATGGGAGCAGCTGTCCATTTCTCCAAGGAATGTAGCTAGGCAGAAAATATTGACAGATTAGTTGTGCTAAGAGTTTTTAGGAGGTAGGATTGCAGCATAGAACTTTGATATAAAATCGGTCTTTAGTGCTGAGTCAGAAAGTACTGTGCAAAGCTGAGGTCCTACTAAACAAAGACAAAGTTGCACGCTTCCTCAAAAAAAGACCATGCTTGGATATTCACACAGGAAAAGTAGAATACATTAGTCTTTGTCAAAGTACTCACACATGGCACCTCATAAGAACCATATTAAGGTCAGTTACATCCATCTTTACAGTGTTAAAGCATATGTTTTACCTGTCTTGCATTTGAAAATAAAAGTAGTTGTTGAAATTCAGTTTCAGAATCTTGTAGTTTGCAGATCTTTTATATAATCATCATTATTATTTACTCTTCTGAAGCATGGCTGCTGTAACAAAAGGTACCTTGTACTGGAACTTACATTTCCCTATATTCCCAGAAGAACAGAAATAATTACCGTGGTGTGTCATGGTGATGAACAGTATGCTTCTTCACAGGTTTTTTGTTTTTGATTTTTGCTGAGTACAGTACTCTATAGACACCTGTGAAACAAAACCATAATAAATTACTTTTATTGTGTACACACTGCAGCATTGACCCTTGCAGTACCTTGACATTATTTATTGCTGCATTCAAAGAAAAGAGCAGCAGAATAAGTTTATTTAAAAATCAAATTTGGTCTGGGTCTATATTCCTGGAATTAAGCTCCCGTATAATACATTAGATTTGGGAGATTTTTGTGAGTACACAGTTGTATGTATAGTCTGGATTTTAGAACACCCTTAACTGTATAGGAAATTCAGCTAGGTCAAATTACTTGCAAAATATATACATGAAGAAGTATTTTTGGTGATCTATGTGAAAAAGACCGTAGGAACATCTATGCTAGACTGTGTGTGCATTTGATTGTTTAAAGAAAAATACTGAGAAGTTTCTTTGGGATTTCCTGCTTAAAAACCCACAAGTTTCCTCCAAGACTTGGGTCCTTAAGTCACAGTCCTTTTACATTGGAATGTAAAAGTAACATATTAGGACTGTAAAGTCAAACATTTACAGTTTAGAAAAAAATATAATTCAGACGGTAAGTGCAACTGTTTCTCTAGCACGCATGGAGTATCTGGAGTACTGTGTCCAGTTCTGGGGCCTGGACCCATTGGAATGAGGCCAGAGGAGGGCCATGAATATGATAAGTGGGCTGGAGCAGCCTTTTAGTACCTAAAGAGGGCCTTCAGGAAAGCCGAGGAGGGACTTTTGGAAGGGCATATAGTGTTAGGACAAGGGGCAATGGCTTTAAACTGAAAGAGAGTAGGTTTAGATTAGATATTAGGAAGAAATTCTTCAATATGAGGGTGGCAAGGCACTGGAATGGATTGCCCAGAGAATTTGTGGATGCCCCATCCCTGAAAGTGTTTAAGGCCAGGTTGGAATGGGCTTTGAGCAACCTGGTCTAGTGGAAGGCTTCCCTGCCTGTGACAGGAGGGTTAGAATTAGATGATTTTTAAGATCTCTTCTAACCCAAACCATTCTATGATTCTATAATTTTGACATATACTTCCATTATAAACTACAATTTCATCAGGATGCTGTTTCACTCAGCCTGCGGAAGAGACAGCTCTGACTGCGTAAGCAGCTGTTCAGTATTGGGGATTCTGACTGTACCGCAGTGGGTGCCCCCCTACCTTATTTTCCACCCTGTGCTGAAGGCAGTGATTCATTGTCATGAGCATTTCCAGGATCTCATCACCAGCACCTGAGTGTCTCTTGAGGTATAAAGTCAAACAGGCTTATCTCCTTAAACTGAAGGAAAGTCAAACCTGAAAGTCACTGAGATTAAAGCACCCACTCAGTTGAGTTAATTAACTAGAGTTGACTTATACTTCAGTGTTTAAAGTAGTTAGTGAGATACAGGACTTTGAAATTTCAAGTGACTTTACTTACAGCTGGGAGAGCTTAGCAGCACTGCAAATTTGACTAATGGGCTTAAGTCAGACACTCATAATGAGAAATTGAAGTAACTCTTTGTGAAAGGGTGGGCTTATTTCATTTGTCTGGTATCGTGCAGGAAAGGACAAAGGAAAAAAAGAAGAATATATAAATCTTGTTCCTAGAGACAGAAATTATTTGCCTGAAGCAAGAGATGAGAAAATAATCCAGCTTTCCTGTATTACCTCCGTGTTCATCTCCATCTATCACTCCCAAGGAAGCAGAACCAGTAGTTCAGAAGTTGCAGCTCATCTCATCCTAAATGCATGTAAGGGATCTAAGTTCAGGAGCTACAAGCAATTCTGACCAATTTAGTTTTGTTATTTCCCAAGCTTATGTTTGACTCCAATATTATTTGACAGTTTTGTATGTTGCTCTGTAGAATGAAACCCGCAGTATCTCTATTCCACAAGCTCTGGATCACACTGGAAGTATCATTGAACTAGATGATTGGTATTGGTTCATTCCAACTTAGCTATTCTACTCTGTATGTTACTGGCACAAGCTCCTGTTCAAATCAAGCAAAAGTAGGTTCTTGTGCCTGTGAAAGATTAAGCTAGATTCAGACAGCATTTGAGTTATTCAGATGGGTTTGGTCTATAAGAGAACAGTACAGTTCCTGTGGCAAAGGTAAAAGAAAGGAAATTAAGAAAAAGCAGCTGCATACAACGTACAGATGATGCTTTATTATTAACCTTTTTTTTATTATTTGTCTTCTTAGTCAGTGATTACTAGCTTGGTCAACAAACTTCTCGTGAACATTCTAGTGTAAATGGGTACTGGAGAACTGTAATTTGGAAGAGAATATTGCTCTTACTGAGACTGCACAGAGGCATTGCGTGATTGGTTTTCCAAGAACTGTGTTCAAGAGTGTTTTATAAAGCCTTAAAAAAAATAATGTAAACTTATTTTAGGTCTCTTACTGCTTGCCCCTCTCTCAATAAGGCAATTATATTAGTCAGTCATGAAGTCATACCTATGGTCTCAAAAAGCTTTGTTGAAATTCTGAAACAACGTTGTTCAGACCTTGCCTCTTCACTCCCAGAACACCAGTCGCAGCCCACAACCACTTCAGCCACATACTTTGCTCTGCTCCCTGATACAGGCAACATTGTCACACTTGGAAGATTAAAAAGCTATGTCTACCTCTCAAAAACCAAAAAGAAGAGAGATTTTGAACAAGAACAATCTCATGACTAGGTGACTGCCAATGGGTTGAATAAGAGGGATGTTGCCTTAGGGGTGCTGGATGACTGAGTAAGATTTCTGTAAAGCCAAGTCTGTAGGTGAGCTCAGGCCTGTTCTCAGCTCAGTTTTTACTTCTCTGGGAATACTCTTCTTTGGAAACACTCATCACCAAATGTTCTAGCAGGTAATGAATCATGGTAGTGTTTGGCTTGCCTTTCACTTGACACACATCTAAACACAAAGGAGTTTTTAAAAACAAAGTAGAAATCTAGGTTTTGGAAAATATATAAGAACCAGAAAACA